AAGTCACAGGTTCGGCCGCACATGGAGTACTGCTCTCATCTTTGGGCGGGAGCACCTGGATACCAGCTCGGTCCTTTTGACTCGGTTCAGAGACGTGCTATGAGAATTGTCGATGATCCCAATCTCTCTGGCGGTATCGAGCTACTCAGCTTGAGGCGAGACTTCGCCTCGCTTTGTGTGTTCTACCGATTATACAACGGACTGTGTTCTGAGGAATTGTTCGACATGATGCCGACAGCCACCTTTTACCACCGCACCGCTCGCCATCGACAGGGAATTCATCCCCACACACTGGAACCTAAGTGGTCCCGAACAGTGCGGTTTCAGAGGAGTTTCCTCCCGCGTACACTTAGATTGTGGAATGAACTTCCTGCCGAGGTTTTCCCACGAGGCTACAGCATGGGATTTTTCAAGAAGGGTATATTAATGTTTCTTAAGGGTCGGCAACGCGCAAGTGATACCCCTGGTGTTTCAAACGTTCATAGGCTACGGTAACCATTTACCATCAGATGGGCCGTATGCTTGATTGCCACCATAGTAGTATAAAAAAAAAACATCCAGTTCATGTTTTATTACTTAGACATCTATTAAGGTCAGTTAGGACCTTAATAGAGGTATTATACTTTCAGAAATATCATGGGTACCTAGTATAATTTGAAATGTGTAACATAACATCGTGTAAATCGTTTATTCAAACAATAAGTCCCATTAAATATCCTTGCCGGTAGAGAGCTAGAAATGTCACTGATGATTGAAAACATAGTGAATAAAAGTACAGTACACAGAGTAGACATTTATATAATAGCTTCTTATCTGACAAAAAATGGTAGAATGAACTTTATAAATATATTTCATGAATACTAGATATGAGAATGAATAGATATATAAAAACTTAAGTAATCTTGTAGCAGATATGTTAAAAATGAATCCATGCGATAGGTACACACATTTGTACATACTCGAATTAACCGTTATTCTGTATAAAGCTTGATTTATACTCGTATATAACTACGATACTATTATTCTCCAGATATCTGCAGCCGCAATTGTGAACGTAACACTGCAACTCACTGGTGTGTATCTAATAACACTGTTTAATGCCCTCACAATCTGCTTTTGTAAGCAAAGATGGGTATAAGAATTAGTGTATGAAAATTTAAAACAAATTATGCTCTACGTCACCATGCCCTGTATCTTGATGAGAATTTCATCTCAATTTCATCTTCGCTGTTTCTAGACCTATATATGTTGTTTAACTTCATCTGTTGTTGAAATAAATAACAATTTCGATATCCTTCGCTTATAGCGTGATATCACATAGTGGTCACTCATTCACATGTACTAAGTACGTTGGATGTATTCTGCAATTGTATTTCAATTGTTTAATTTACAATTGAATACAAAAAAAGAAAATCAGCTAGATTGAATTTACAGACATCACCGTATATGACACGACCAACCGGGATTAGATTAGAAATTTATATCTTTATGATTCTGTGTCATTTGTTGGTTGTCAATAATAACCATGTTACTAATAATTCTCTTTAGAAACATATTAGAATAATAGATAAAAAAAATCAGTTTTGCGATTATGCTATAATAGGTTTATTAGACAATGATAAATAATTTGAACCCAATTGCAATTCGATCGAAATCCCGATCACATTGCTATTGAAACTGCCAAATGTTCATGTACAACCGCATAATAGTCAATTTTAGCCTGTTTTAATCAGATTTAGCAAATGCGTTTTACTGCCATATTAATGATCGTCGACGAAAATTGTATTCTTATTATATCTACTGTTTTAATACAATCAAGTGATTTTTCTTGGATTTAATCGCGTACTGATTCTTGGATTTAGGATTGTAATCGTGTAATCAATAGTTATTAAGGTAAAAAATAAACAAAATTAAAAGTACTAAATAGCTGGTAATTGTAAAATATTCTTAGATGTCTGATGACGTGTTATATCTTATCGTGTTAATGTAAGTGTAATATAATCTTAATTATGATATTTTAACTGACAATTCACGTTTTGATAATATTAGTCTCGTATACCTTTTAATTTATTTGTATATTAGGTATATTGTTGTTTTATTGTTGAATATTATAGAATGCAGAGGTCATTACATAATAACAATTTTAATATGTAACAAATGCTTAAAAATTTTAGGGTCGCTAATATTATGTTTACATAATTATGCAAATGTAATTAATTATATTTAACATTTAACGTAGTATACAATTATAAACTTAGGTTGATATTTTAAGGAAAACAGCCATTTTCATCGTTAGCGAATTTGACTAATTCAATTCTTATCAAATACAGTCGTTATCTTATACATACTTATTTTATACATACTTATATGTAAACATCTATTATTTTTGCTTGCACTTAAAAAAGTATAAAGTAGGGTTCCAGTGAAATAGACCGAGACGATTCACCTCCCAACCTGGTGAGCATGCACTATACATTATGGAAAATATGGGCAAATCCTTTGAAACGTAGGATTACAAGGAGTTGGCACATGACCTTCACGCCTGGCACTGATAAGCCTGCAACACTATCTAACTGTTCTCACATATCTCCCACACGACACGGATACAACGATTGATCGTGCGACTGGCCTTATCTCTGCCGACTTGATAATGATTTTAAAATACGTTTACGTTCTTACACCTTGACAGCAAAGGATTTGCTCTTTAAATTGTGTTTTAATAAGTATTTATTTACATTAATGATAAAACTCGTCCCGGCGGCTTAGATACGAACTATACCTACGGACAGTCCAAACTAGTTAATTATCTATGTAAGAAAAATATTAAATAAGAGATTTTAATGAAAGGAAACTTTTCTTATAAACATATACAAGTTAATATTCAAGGTAGTTTCCATCAAGGAGCAGGACTTGGACCATACTGTATTTAACAATGAATTACTGTTTAATATTGTAAAGATAAATGAGAGAAAGTGTTCTTTTAATTACAATACTTTAAAGATATATTACAATTATAAAATACTGTCTTAGCTTTATCGAAATTGACGCAAGCATTGTCGTCTTTCCAAACACATAGGTGTATGATATATACGTGTGCCTACGTAAATCCTTTGATCACTCTGACGTCATATTAATCTACCATCGTTGTAGGTCATCCATCTTTAATCCAAACAAGCCATGTATTCCAAGGTCAACCATCACTTGACATGCCAGGAAGAATGGAATTTTTATATATTACACATATTTCACATGTTTTATATTAATAGCTTTTTATAAAAAAAGTAAATTTTAATCTTAATTATATAACATGGAAGAAGTTATTGGCACACCTGATGGTAACTGATTACCACCACCCACGAGCACCCGCAACACCAAGTGAATTGCATGTGCGTTGCCGGGCTTTTAAGAAGGACTAAGCTCTTTTCTTGAAGGTTTTAATATCGTATCGGTTCAGAAATACCATTCCATAATGTTCCTGTTGCGTAGCATAAGGATAAGATGATCAAGATGGTATTTTAGTTGCGGCGGGTAGTACGACATATGGTGGGGGAAAGAAACTAAAAGATATAGAACATTACAAAAAATTAATATATATTATGATTCTGGATAACTCACACACCCCCCAATGCCAAGCAGAGCTAGTGTTATGGGCACTAGACAAGTGATAGAAATACTTAGATACTGTTTTTATAATATACATAGAAAATACCTATTACCAATATAAACATTCTTAGTAATGAATACATATATTTGCATTATGCGAGGAATCGACCCGCTACCATCGGAAGTAAGGCAGTGTGCTAAACCACTAGATCACCGAAACCTTTAACACCATAAAAACATTGTAGGCTTGAGCTGTCAATAGAGATCTATGAAAACCATTGTAACTATGAAAATGATTCTCGTAGATATCTAGAGAAAGCTGTTACTCTCTCTACTTTATTATTATATACAGACTAGCGAACCCGGCAGATGTCATCTTGTTCGGTAAACAGCTCCACTAACCTGGTCCTATTATATTTTTAAATTCAGAAACCTATCAAAATATGCACACAATATTTCATCCAAATCTGTGCAACTTAGGAGGAGTTAGTTAACAAACAGACGTACAGAAGAATTATGTACCTATTTTAAGATATTATTGATTATATTGAGAAAGTGAATACATTATAATAGTACTTATTTTAAACTAGAAGTCGTTATCTAAAGTGTTATATTTCATTAGGTAAGTACTTGTATAAACAGTGTCATTTATTTTTAAACCCACACAAAACACATCATGTGTGTAACGTACATACATAACAAGTATGTATATTGCTATCTTAAATATTGAAATCATTGGTTTAGTGTTTACAAATGTTTTCTATTTATCTGTCACTGTAAGTTATATCGTAAAAATTGCATATTACTATATTAATGCAAGTTTATCAACGCACATATAGCAACATACCTAGTTAATTTTGTCTCTATGTATAATAAGACACCAGTTAATATGCTTTATAAATCCGTTATTCTGTTGACTCGAAGAGATTATTTTCAGTAATAACGGCTCCATATTGTATTTATACAAGTGTGTGTTTTTAGCAAATGGATTAGGTACCATTTACTTAAAAAGAGTATTATTCCATTTATTATGAATGTTCTACCCTAAGGGGTTCTCATGAAGAATATGTATAATTAATGTAATTGTAAAAAAAAGCTTTCAGCTTTGTTTTAAATTTTATGAAACGGGGTGTTGTTGTCTGTCCAAATATTTATTGGACAAATGGACAAAAAAAAAATATAAAATTCTTAATAATAAAAAATATACACTATAATGCTATGAGGACAGTACCACAGTACATAAGTCTTTCAATATAGATAATACTATCTATATTAAAAGTCTTATGTTTCTCAATTCTTATATTTATCGACTAAGTAATATTTACTTTAATTATATTAAAAAACAAAACAAAATTTTATATAATTGTCATATATCAGGAACAACTTTTTACTCGCAGGCCACCTGATGAAGACACGGCGTCACACGAGAGCTGCGAGGAAGAAGAGGAAGATGCAGAAGACCACCACCTAAAACCTCGCAGACCATTCTGGGCCAACAAGATACAGTTCGTTTTAGCCTGTGTTGGATATTCCGTTGGGCTTGGCAATGTATGGCGTTTTCCATATCTGTGTTATAAAAGTGGTGGAGGTGAGTATACATACATAAATAGATAGAATCGTCATTACTTGTTCAATATTTACTTATAATTAATTTCTATACATTACAAACAGATAATAAAAAATATATATCTTCTAGGCGCCCTTCGATATAAACCTTTTAATTGGAAGTATTTTTATAAACACACCTACAAACCATCTCCCAAACAATAAATGCAGAATAAGGTAATACTATTGATACGAGAGGAAATATGCTACATAATTTATACAGATCATAACTTACTCGGATAATAATTGTAGATTTTTTTTTAAATAAATATTTAATAGATAATTTAATTATTTAAATTACAACGTGAACCCAACCAACCCAGATAACAGCATGAAAAAAACAAGCACCATGGCGCCTAATAGATCAGAAGTATTAATGTAGACGACTTTGTACTAACGAAATCTCATAATATATTTTATATCAATCATATAGAATATTAAGAATATACTTTATAATCTTACTGTATTTTTCCGTATCAAATTATCATTTTTGTATACGTACATTTATAAACTTTTATAAATTTTGAGAAAACTTAAAATTCGTGAATTTAAATATACCTAAAATATTATACTTCAGTGCTTCGTTCCTGGTATATATTTACCATATAGTTTTTTCTAAAAACCAAAATAGATAAGGAAACGTTTAATTTATTTTTTATTTTAGGATATGGAATCTACCTCTAAAAATGCGTTTTGTTGCCTAGTGATTTGAAGAAACGGTAAATATATATATATCAGGAATGGAGCACTTCATATAATAATGATTGAACATCCCAGGTAAATTCGTTTGGTCGTTTATTAAGTATATATAACAAAATGTGTTCATATATACTAAAGGTTTCAAACTGCTAGACGACTGTCAATATATCGTCAAATTTCATAGTTTAAATATGTAATTATTACTCTTTACATAGTTGCTAATGTAACTGTAATCATTTTTGGATAATATAGGTGTAGACAAACAGTGTGTCAGTATTGCTCACACATAGTATGTACTTGCATATTCTACTTGCATATTCATACTCTAAATTAGATGACGACTTCGCACTACCAAACGCCCGTAGATAGGTACATCTTTTCAATAATATCGTAACTATTGTGTATGGGTAGTAACCAATAAATAATTTCATGATCGTTTCTTCAATGACTACCTACTTATGTCAATAGATTGGTTTTAGTCCGAAATCGTTTTCACACCAGCTAAACTAATGTGACGTCTCACCTCCGATGTTGTAAATTACCTCGTTAGGGTGACAAAAAGATCGTGAACGTCGTGACATTGTAAGCGTGTACGTGTTATGTACACTACTCGGCGACAACTCATTTTTACATCAATTTATATACATACTACAAATTTTCGTTCACGAATTCATTAAATTTGAAATTAACATCTGTAGATGTCATCGGTTACATTATTAAACTCGTTTACATATTCTCTTAAATTATCTATATTGCTTAAAATTATAATTTTCTGGAATATAACGTATAATAAAAATTATATACTGTTCATACGATTCTACAGTATGTGTTTAGTATCTATTAGAATGTAATATTTTCTAGATTTTTTATACTGTATCAGTTACGTCCGGGAAACTACAACTAAGAATTGTTTTGTAGATGCCGAGGCCTTTGTGCATATGCCTATGCCTAAATAAATATTTCCAATTCACATTACTAAGAATCGATAATAACCTAAGATTTGAAATATACACAAACGTGTGAAATCGTGATTGTGGTTTGTTTGTGTCGCCCAGTGCTAATTAGTGACGGTTGCCACCTAGGCTCCAATGTGATACAACAACACTACAAACTAGCGTGAATTACAGCTGATTACCTTCGTAAACTGACACTTGATAACACAGCTATGCTTAAGATAGGGTACAACTCTATAGGTGTCCTATTACCCAGGTACGTATCGAAAACTCTATCTTTGTTAGATCAGTAATAAGTAAACCCTTACACGTGGTTGTTTAACACAGCCTTTCTGAAACATTATAGAATACTAGCTATTACTTACGACTTTGTCTATGTAGGATTACACACTTCGTTATAGCCTTATTTAAACACGTTTCCCAGGTGCGTTACTACTTATTCATATTCTGCTCATATGTCATTGGTTAATATAGATAGACTACAGATATTATAAAAAATCTAAAATAAAGGTAGTATTAAGTTACTCCTTATAAGATTAGCTATCTGTGAGTGACAGTCCTGTCAAAATTGGTCCAAGTTGTTACAGACCAGAACAGACAAGAGACAAAAAAAATCATTGTTTGATGTAAGTCCATTCTATATATGAAATTCGTTAGACAAGACAAGAATAGCTGAAAAAAAGTACAGACAACAGCCATAGCTTGGTACATTATAATATTAGTACCTATACATTAGATACGAGTACGCATTATATAATAGGATATCTAACGTAATCGTATATTTTTTCGTATTCACCTCATGCTATTCACGGATTTAATAACACTATGGTTTTCAATATTACTTGGAAAAATGTTAATGCACCTACATATATTAGACGATATAAGTAATAGTTATAAATATCAGAGGCAGTCAGTACAATTATTATTGATATAATAACCATTTCGTAAATGAACATTATGTAGGTAAGTTTGAATATTTGCAACAGGTATCAATTAGCACATGCGTCAACTACTACAAAGCTAAATTATCCTTTAGGCAAATTACTAGGTTAATTACATCAGTTCCCATGGGTCAACTCATTGATATCAGCGATACAATGAGTGTAGTAATGTCAAACGAGACATCTAGATAAAATAGACCTGTAGCGAAAGTCTATTTTGTTTAGATAGTCTTGTACTTATAAAAATATTACTTTTATAATAATATTTTTACAAGCTTTTATTTAACTTGTTTCTTATAAATAAACAGTCTAATATCCTTCCGATATTCTCTAATCTGCTTGGTTTGAATGTTGAGACATCGCATTAAAAATACAGGCTATAGAGGTAACACCTTTTACATTTCGACACGTTAACACGAATAACACGTTAACATTTCAATTTTATAAAAATATATTTTAAATTGTTTTGTTGTAATTCAGAGAGGTACTGTGATGACTTTTTATAAAGTCTTACCGAGGTCCAAGTACGTATCCAACCTATATCTATCTACATCAGCCGCCAAGCAGCTTGCTTTGTAAACTATTGTATTTAAGTGTGAGATGAGTGAGATAGGGCAGTAAAATTACAGGATAATGATAATGTCTATTGAATTTCAGATTACTATTCTGTAAAAACTCGGTCGCTACAGTAAATCTGGTATTAATAAATATAGGTGTTACTATTTATATCTCGTATTCGGACTTTATTCAGATTACATATCAAATTTGAGAAAGTTATAGAATACATTATCATTCCTACCTATGGATGGACTTAATTAACATTACATTTTTCTATATAATAAAGTATTTTTACATTATTGTTAAATTTATTACATTATGTCATAGATTTTTTTTTGTTTCAGGTGCCTTTCTTATTCCATATTTTATTATACTACTAGTATGCGGGATACCAATGTTATTTATGGAGTTGGCTGTAGGACAATATACTGCACATGGACCAATCGGTGCCTTATCACAAATCTGCCCGCTTTTTAAAGGTAATTATAAAATATACATGTTCTTATAGACTCCGCTTTATAAGTAGATTAGAATTCTAAGTCTTAATACATAACTGTGCCAATCTATATTATCTGCATATATGTATTACTTTAGTGACTGTATTAAAAAAGAGACATCTGTTACAGGTGCCGGCGTAGCAAGTGTAGTGATCTCGTTTTTTATGTCAACATATTATGCTGTGATAATTGCGTGGGCTATCTACTATTTCTTTACTTCTTTCAAATCTGAAATGCCATGGGCAAGCTGCTCCAATAGGTGGAACACGCCACAATGTTGGGTACCACACCATAACCTCACCAAGCCCAATGGCTCGCAAACACCAACAGAACAATTCTTCGAGTAAGGTTTGATTATATTAATATCTTCGTCTTCATATATCAAAAACTACTGATGTTAACGATTTGAAATTTAAGTGGTCGGATATAAAGACATTGAAGGGACAAAATATGAACGCAACACCGGCACAGGCATTATAAGCAGTATGTACAATTATTATATAGATTCAGTCTAGACACTATCATTTAGTGGTAATAACCGATCTGTCATTTTAACCGACGCCGTTATATTCAGTTTCTCCTGTAGTATTAAATACTATTAATAACCATGATCTGTTGTAAACAAAAGATCGAAAATTTTAATTATTCCATCGATGGAATATAAAAATATAGAAGATACATATATTTTTACTTTCTTTATGAGAGGACCAGAAGTAGAGGCACAAAATTTCTAAATACTAGAGACTACTGAGGCCTACAATATGAAAAGAGTGCAGTAATAGATTTATTCCAGAACAGCATGTTTAGTATAATACTATCCCACATTAATGTTATTATTAGGTACATAATATTTCTAGCTAGCAGTTTTATCTGAAAATCATCAAAATCTCTCCACAAACATACTTGAACCAACCAAGGAAATCGTTACCATATCTAACATCTATTTATTATTGGCATAATATTTTATTTTGTATCTATGTATATGAACTACTTCATGAGTACAGTGTACTATTCTATCATCACAAATTCACAAGAACTGACTTTCTATACAACAACAAATGTCTATATATATAAACAAAATTATTCAGGTAATACAGATCATGCTCAAAAAACCCATGTGTGCGATTAAATTAAAAAGCAAATGCTCGCATATAACCTTTGTGTGTAAATTTTAACTATATCTCTTTTTTATTTAATTATATACCAGTTACCTACAAAAAATGTTATCTCAAGTGATTCATTACAGATAAATTATTCAGTAGAGACAAACATGTACTCGTATGTACAATCATAGCGCCAACAGATAAGTCACAATTTAGAACATTCAACACGTTTAAGGTTACCTTCATAAAATACCTTAATTTAAAAGGTACTTATAATTCAGATTCACTGAAAATGAATTTATGTAAAAGTCATAAACCTAAGCAATTACGCACTAAGGTCTTTGCGCGCTACAGTAGCTACAAAAATTGTATATATTTAAATGTGTTGAGTTTCTTTGGTTTTTCAAACTAAGATATGATTATAGTAGCTATCTGTTAACATGAACGCACTACACACTTATCAAAATATTTACAATTATTATTTTTTAAACCTTATTTCAGGAAAAAGGTCTTAAGCATGAGTGACGGTATAGAATATCCTGGTAGCATGCGGTGGGAACTGGCAGCTTGCTTAGTCTGTGCTTGGGTGTTAGTCTACTTCGCCCTATGGAAAAGCATAAAATCATCAGCCAAAGTTCGCTACATCACCACAACACTGCCTTTTCTTCTGATTATTGTTTTCCTTGGTCGATCTTTAACGCTAGAAGGTGCAAACATGGGCTTAAGATTCTTCTTCAAACCAGAGTGGGAACTTTTAAAACAATCCAGACCTTGGGTTAATGCAGCATCACAAATTTTCAACTCAATCGGCATAGCATTTGGGTCTATGATAATGTTTGCTTCATATAACCGATTTGACAACAATTTTCTTCACGACACGGTGGCGGTCTCTCTGATCAATGCAGTTACGAGTCTCATCGTAGGAATTTTTACCTTTGCTACTATCGGAAATATTGCTTTCGAACAGAACACTAATGTGAAGGATGTTATTGCTGATAGTAAGTATAAATAACGTAATTTCGATGCTATAATAAACAATCTTTACGTCATTCCTTAACATTTACGAGAATAATAGTAACTATTGTTTGTTGCTTTCAGGTCCGGGTTTGCTGTTTGTTGTATATCCCCAAGCAATCGCAAAAATGCCAGCATCACAACTGTGGGCCGTGTTATTCTTTTTTATGTTCCTTTGTCTTGGTCTTAATAGTCAGGTACTTGGTTTAAAATAAACTGCCTAAATAAAAATTAAGCCGTAATAATGAGAAAATAACGTTTTATTCCATCTAATTTCAGTTTGCAATAGTTGAGGTGGTAGTTACATCAATACAAGACGGGTTTCCAGATATGATACGCAAGAGACTCGTGTATCATGAACTATTAGTGTTATGTGTATGTGTGGTATCACTGTTCTTCGGATTGCCCCACATCTTACAAAGCGGCATATATCTATTCCAGCTAATGGACTACTATGCAGCTTCTCTCAGTATTACATATCTCGCCTTTTTTGAAGTTGTGGCCATAGCATGGTTATATGGTGTAGGAAGATTATCTCGAAACATTAAACGAATGACGGGTAAGAAATTTTGAAAGTAATTCGTTTTAGAACTGCAGCCTTGCACTAATAATATCTATCTACTATGTAATAACACATAATTATTTAATGTTTGGATAAAAATAACTACGTGTGACAAAAAGTATGACATCAAAACTAAAAATACCGGTCTGTCACTTTCGTAACTCCATTTTCAACCTACGCATGAAATGTGCATGACGAGGTCTCATTGTTAGCTAATAACCTTTGTATATACATAATGCAACAGACTTTAATTTTATCATCGTTCATGGTGCTAGTGGTTTTCCAAATTTATTTGCTCCATTGAAATAAACAAATCTTCTTGAAATGTAGATTACAACATTTAAAGACATTAAATATAAGTGCTACTTACATATAATATATTTACGCTCATAGAAAAACATAAAACAAAAATGATGTCACTTTGTTCAAATAATAATAATATTTGAACATCATTTATTCAGTACGTAGATAATTCTAATTATCACTATCGCGTATCCATACATGTGTTATTATATTGCACATATACGTTTAGAACAATCAATGTATGCGTAAAATAAACCTATTTAACTATGTATGAACTTCCGTTGACAGTGAAGCGATAATAATCTTTTTTTATTGTAATTCATTGTAATCCGTTGTACCTCTAATTATAGTGCCAATTAACCACCTCATTGTATGTCATAGTAATAAAGGGAGACTAGATAACGATTGTACGAAATTCTAATTACGATACGGTAGTAATAATTAATAAAAAATATAATTTAAACATTATATTAATTATAGATGTTGTTATGGAGATCTAAATTTACTGCCTAAAAGGGAGACACGTTCCTCTGTTAGGTAAATGTATTCAGAACAATCCACATAGCGCCATCTAGGCCTAAGCTAAGTCGAACTTGTGTTAGGGCTACTAGTAGACTGATATAGATACATACATAGATATATACTAGATATATTGTAAATACATACATATAAAATACCCAGAACAAAACAAACAATCATATTCATAATTCATATATTTACCCAATTTCCAGGTCGGCGTCCATCATTCTACTTCCGATTTTGCTGGTTAGTAGCAACGCCGGCTCTATTGTTAGCACTGTGGGTGGCCAGTCTTGTCGATTATACACCGCCCAGCTACCGGCAGTATGAGTACCCGGCCTGGGCACAGGTCCTTGGATGGACTATAGCTTCATTCTCTTTACTCTGTATACCAGTGTATGCAGTTGTGGTCGTAATGAGGTCTCCTGGAAAGAATTTGGGAGAGGTATGATTTTAATTTGTTATATCTTTACTAATTTATTACATTATAAACCCATTGACATCTCACTACTAGAAAGAAGTCTGTGTATATAAGAGGATACTTCCTCACTCCTTTTCTATATTTGATACTGGTAAATTGCTGTTTGTTGCCCTGGTCACCTACTACATCACACGCATGAAAAGGAGTGGTGAAATTTCTTTCTCTCGCCCAAACCTATAAAAATATACTTACAATAAATTTCCTGACTGAATTTACCAGAGGTAGACCGTAAAATGCTGTCTGTATAGAGACCTCAGTCTCACTTATATCGACCACCAATCAGTTTGCTTTGTAGGTTGTGTTTCGCGGGTAAACTGCAGATTAGGCGGTAAAAGAAGCGTGAGAATTTAGACAACGCGATTCCAGAGGATCGCAATGCATAAGTGGTATCGCGAATGTCACATTATAACGTGATGTTCCTAGTACAGTTCATGTATATGAGCGTCGGTTACCGCTTACCACCCGGTGTGCCGTCAGCTTGTTTGCCTTTCCAAATACATAAGAAACTCTCTTTATAATTATATATATATCATTAGAGATGATATATACTTACATATATTTTATGAAGAGTACCTACACATAATCAAGATATTTAATTATTATGTTAATAAGTGACTACGCCCGTTTTATAATACAAATATATTTTAGTTGTTTTGGTGATAAATTATATTTGCGACTAAAATCAGCTAATAGTCAATTTCGTAAAAAAAATAATGAGTAATCTCTCTAATCCAGTTTAACTATTCTATCGATACAATTTTACGTTAGTCATATTTTGATAAAACGAAATAATGATAAGATAGCGAAAGAAATATAACGACGAATCATATTTTCAGAAATTACGTAACTCCATACGACCAACTCTGTGCGAATGTGGGATCGACAGTTGTGATATATGCTACTCCGAGTCCGAGCCTCCGGACGATAAGACGAACATCAACTAGTCTAAGTAGCTTAAGTATTAATGAAAAAAATAAATTGTGCAGTCATGAAGGCTGCTCTCGTCTACGATATCAAGAATAAATAAAACCATGATAATAACGATCCTCCCTCATTTTATCATATTATTAATAACATTGAGAGACGGTACTCGACCTAAAACAATTAGATATCATGAGTCAGTGACATAGTTTTCTGTAAGTAGGTAGAGTTACCTACTCAAAGACGCTCGACACTTCTGATTTAATTATATATACCAAAATTAATTAAATTCACGTTCATAATTCTATAGTCCTTTAATACTAAGCATGCCTATAATGATTAATATTGGAGTCTCAAAGTTGTTTTTCTTTATCTACTTCTCAAATACTTATAAAACATCTTAGATCAATAAAATGTAAACGAAACATAGAGTGGATACAATTAACATTTTGATATATATATATATGGAAGAATAATTTAAATTTATGCATTAGTTATCAAATACATCTACATAGATATGAATGTATTTTAGAATCATTGCCTGTATCACTGTATCACGCAAAATTTACTGGAACGATTATAATACGTATGTTATTATAACTACATTTTTGTCCCCTAAAAGTGTAAAATAGGGATAGAAATGTTTAGTTGCATCTAATATACATATTTCGGCTGTGATCTTTTTCGTATTGAGCCCGTCGGTTACAACATTGCTACAAACCTCTCAGTTTTTAAGTGAGCAATTTCTTTCATTTATAAAAACATTAAATAAAACACCGCTAAAATTACATTACATTGGATAATTTAATAACTATTTTATTTAAATCTTTTTCAACTACTTGACGCTTTCGTGATAAGGCTTCTATTCTATGTAATATAATATAGCGCCCCAGTAGTTTTCGGCCAAGGTATACACATTCCATGTAAATGTGCTCGATATCTTAGCTTTACGAGGACATTCTATAATAAGTGTTGTACATAATTTGTGTACACAAGCTTAAAGTAATTGCTAATAAATCAGCGATTGTTATAATGTAAATTTTATATATAAGTATGTTAATTTATTGTAAGCCAAAATGAAGAAAATAAACATGTGATTAATAACATTCCAATATAGTTTCTTTATTTTATTGACTAGATTTTATACTCTATATTATTCTTGTTGGGATATTATTTATATAATAATAAATCTATAGATATAATACAATACAATACATACAGTAGTAGTAATAGTAGTCACAAAACAATAATTCGATATTATCTGAACCTAGCCTCTACAATGATAGTTACTGCTATTCATTTAATTATATTTCGTTCCTTAAGACTTAACATTACAGTAAAAACTTATTTTTAACGAGCTTCCAAAATAATATTCTCAATTCAATAATTTTACAATTTTTAGTGTGTATTTATAGACCCAGTCAAAAAGCTTAAGATTTTCATGGTAGATACTATATAATATACTTAAAAGTTTATCGTCACTATTTATTATAGTATTGGTACCTACTATAAAATTTTATCAGATTGATATCCATGGTAATGGAACTATACTATAAATGATAATTTAAAACAATGGTGATTAGACTTATGACATCGATTAAAAAGGCTATAATATGAATGCTATTATTTTTTAAGACATTGTAGTTCATTAGAATAACTGTTTCAACATACTACCTAAAGTTGGTTTGCTACCTATTCATCTGCAGGTTTGTGTGTATGTAACATTAAGCTTGTGCTTTGTAATATTTTATGTAATTTCCACGGTAGTTCTCTATATATTATGTCTAGATTGATTATGTTGGTGTTTTCTAGAAATAAAATATACTTGATGAAAGTTCAGTGTAAAATCAGTCCACATTATGACTCTGAATTCAATGTATCTATGTGTTACTAATAAGCTATGTAGCACACTTACAAATGTAATTCAATTATTACACCTGTATACTGAGTACCCGATACTACAGGAAATCAATAAGTAGTAACACATAATCAAATCATATATAAAGCTACAGTGGCGAGATGATAACATCATGCTACACATATCTATTTAAGGAATGTTAACAAAATTAAACATACTATGGTTTACAAGAGTAGTACAATCTATGAGATTTTTGATCAAAAACTAAGAATATGTAAATATTTAAACTGTACATTATCTACTTTAAGACAGTACCGTAAATGTACTGTAAGGTTAAATAAAACTATTATTAAAAATATTCAATTGTTTTAATGCTATATTTTATTACCTATACATACATGACAATTATATTTACTTTTTCCTTTTACTGGGAGTTACATGTGTATCTTCCACTCTATTATTATCATCATCATCATCATCCTCCTCCTCCTCCATATCTTCAACTGTAATAAAACATGGAACTATGCAAAATAGTACTTTTATATTAATTATTATTAATGATGTGATGATGTGCTTTGTATTTCACAATGAAGTAGCCAGGGTTACTAGACAAAGACTTCTCACACTATGCAGTTCTCAGTCTTACAAACAATTGTGAAACACTAAGCACTTTTTAGACCACCAAGTATTTTAAGTTGTTCTTTAGTGAGATTAATATAGCAGGAATCTGCATAACATGCAGAAAATTCCACTATCAATTGAGATCTTCAGTTGATACAAAATTAGTGTATTTAAGGATAATCATTAATTTTAGTATTGATGTATACCTTTAGTACTGGTATATATAGTGCACCACCTAGCCTCTATGTCCCAGGTCTTTTACATCCACAGCTTTATGTGTTTTTTTTTATTTATTTTTTAGAACATAATAAAGTTTTTTTATTATTATTCGTGGGCATAGTGAAGCAAGAAAATAAATTAACCTAATGAAATTAATTTGTCATTCCTTTTTTTTCCTGGTCCTATTTAAATAAACAGTCATGTTTTAATTTATTTAATTAATTAGTATATGTTTACTTCTTGCTTTAAGACACAATACAATCGGTTAATATGAGAAGAGCATGATCCGAACGTTATAGTACTCACTTAATTCCACAGAATCTTCAATTAAGTATGTTAATGCAGTGTTTGCCCGTTGTTGAAATTCTGTTAAATATGTAACCATATGTGTTGGATGTGTATTTACTTCCATTGTTACTTTATCAAGTTCCTTATTATTTATAGATATAATCATATTCATTAATTCTATCATTACTATTTAGGTAAAGCCTAACCAATGATAAAAAACACTTCTATTCCTAATTGTTTATAGGTGTTAATTGTTTATATACTATTGTTTATAATAACGTATTGGCCGTTCCTGCTGCTATAGTTATTAAATATTTATTTATTATTGTAAATTGCATATGTATTAACAAAACAAATAAACAAGTTATGGCTAAAACCACATTTAAGATAGCTTTGACATTGACAATTGACGATTTTACATTCGCGACTATTCGCATTGTGTAGACACTTCCGAAATAGTTCGAAAGCGTTTCCAAACTAGTTCGCACATCTTTCGCTCTTTAATTCAATAGATAAAACGCAAAAATTTTTGGTAAACACCTAATACTTCGTGGAAAAATACTAATAGGCAAAAAAAATCAGCAGAAAGCAGTAGGCCAGTGAACTTCTAGGAAGTTCTCCTCTGTTTTGAGTCGGGACCGAATAAACAAATTCACAAGAAAGCTGCGAATAGAAATATGCGATGTTCAAGACTAAGGAACAATTTCTAATTGAGAGTGGACTAGTAGTGACTGAGAACCGCAAAGTCAACAGAAATATGAAACGCATGCTTTTATAAATGCTTTTTAAAGTGAAACTTTTGTATAGACGTGGAGTATTAGGATTTATCTAATATCTAATTATATTGTACAGTAGTTTATTAAGTAAATCAGGATTGAGCGCAGTGGAATATTTTGTTATTTATAAGAAATATATTAAAAAGCTTAAAAGACTCTATTTTTTATTGAGATAATTTTTATACATAGAATAATGATAGTACTTATAATGTTTGTTGCTAAGTTACAACTCGCTAAGAAGTATGTATACTTCTTCACATAGTATTTACGTGAAAGAGTAACAAACATCCATCCATACGTAAAATAAAAATAATTAAATAAGTGTACATATATATATATATGTTTATATATTGTATGTAGTGCGTGTATATATATGTATATATACTATATACGAAGTATATTTGTTGTATGTATTGATATGTTGAATGAATATAAACTGCACTTAATGTATTATGTGGTTGTGCGTATATATAACATATAAATATATGTATAACCGTTTTTTTGTAACAAAGATGCTTTATTATAATATAAGATAAGTTCCTATATTTAGTGGTCGCACTTGCAAGTATTTATGCACCGTTTGTAGTTGGACCATACGATGTGACGCATTCATTGCCTCAACGACACGATTTATTTTATTTATAAGTATACCCTACATTTGTCTTGTTTTTTCGTTCAACTCTAAAGTATCGTATAGCATGCTATCTTTAGGTGGGCAATGGTGTCTGAGATACAGGCTAGGCCTAGTTTAGACACTACTGCACTGGACTTGATATTAAATAGTTTTAAGAACTATTGTATATATATGAATTAATATAGACATATAACCTTAGTTAAGTCCTTTTTGTATTTGTTTTTTTTTGCACAATAAAGTTATTGTTATTATTATCCATCCTTCTATTCATCCATATTACAAACTTTCGCGTATAAAAAACACCCAGTCCAATACAAACAGTCATACTCGTGAATGGAATGGTTGGATCGTGCGTGGAATCGAACCCCCGATGATCGGATCTAAGGCAGTGTGTAAAACCGTTAGACCACCGCAACCGTCAATGCCCTATACTATACTTGTTTTTCAGTAAAAATAATGTAAATTGCACAAACTATAGACTTCGTAACGACATATTATGGTTTTTCAACAGCGTGCTTGTATGCTTTTTATAGTCGAGGACTTACGTTTAAACTTTTTATTAAAGTACTTATCTCAGTCATATCATCTCTATTTAGTTTCTTCTCATCCTTAATCTGTATTGAAGGTCGTGAATTTTTGACATGATATGACATCTAAAATTCTAAAAACGTAGTTATAAAGTAATCACTTGTACATTGATTGTATTCACATGACATTTTTTCAATTTTTGCATTACATTGCAATGTTATATTGATCTTACTGTACTTCAATGTAGTAGTTTCATATTTGAATCTCCTTAACTTACCTCCTAATTGAAGTTTGTAGTCGTACTATGTTAATCATTATTCAGAGGCATCAGTTATTTCAATATGTAGAATAATTGATTATGCAGCAGTTCGGTAAATTTGGTCCATTAATAGGCGCTATTGATGAGGGAACCTCGAATGTCAAATTTTTGGTAAATTTATTAAATCTTGTAATTTGTAAATACATATGAAAAAGGATATTTTTCATCTTTGTTTTATTTTACTCAAATTCCAGGTTTTTGCTGCTAATACATCTGAAGTGTTAACATATCACCAAATACCCCTGAAACGTTTTAGTCCGCAGGAAGGATGGGTTGAACAAGACGCTTTAGAGATTCTCAATGCAGTATTGGAATGTATAGAGGTAATGTAAAAGCATATATACCAGCTATTAAGTATTTATATATTCTTTTAACCAATTTTTTTTATTTACAAGTTATTAATTTGTGAGATGTTAATAAGTAAAGCTAATATTTAATTATTTATATTTTTATATATTAATAATATTCCTCATATATTTTTTTAATAACTACTTCAGATTTTTTTAGTTTCCCATTAGTTAACAAATTGGTAGGTTGTCTAATAATCTAATCTAATAAAAAATTGTATATATACATATAACTGGTATCTTATTAAAATCTCTAATTTTAGGTAACAACAGATAACTTAAGAAAATTAGATATAAGCCCAGAAGATGTAGTAGGAATAGGAATTACTAATCAGAGAGAGACTACTATTGTATGGAATTCTGTCACAGGCTTACCACTTTACAGTGCTATAGGTAAGAATATTCAATGTATGAAATAAATAATAACATATTTAAATTTATACTGACTTCACACAAAACATATTTAAAAATTTACAAAAATTGTGTATTATTATTTCAGTGTGGTTAGATGTAAGGACATCAAAAATAGTTGATGAACTAGTTAAAAGAAAGGGACCACAATGTGTGAATGCTGTGTCACAATCCAGTGGTCTTCCATTGTCAACATATTTCACCTCTGTGAAATTAAGGTGGTTGCTTCAAAATGTAACTGCTATCAAAGATGCTGTGGCTGTAGGAGAATGCATGGCTGGCACTGTTGATTCCTGGCTAATATGGGTACTTTCATATTACAAATATATTCTTAATCTTGGAAACTACATCCTTATTACACAATAACTATGGTAATTGTTAGAAACCTGGCATGAAGATAAATAGAATTTTGGTATTATTCTACAATTGTTATTGTCAATACAATAATATATTATACTATTATAATAATAATAATAATCTCAGGACAATTCACACAGCGTCATCTAGACCCAAGTTAAGCTAGCTAAAGCTTGTGTTATGGGTCCTAGACAACTGATACAAATACATAGATATTTTTTTTTTTTTTTCGTAAATACATACATATTATACATAGAAAATACCCAGACCGATACAAACAATCATACTCATGAATACAAATGTTTGTGCCGTGCGAGGAATCGAACCCGCGACCACCGGTTGTAAAGCGGTATGCTAGACCGCTAGACCACCGAGGTCGTATTACTACTATATAATATTACATTATTTTTCAGAACCTCACAGGTGGCAACCGTGGTGGTATACATGCTACAGATGTAACCAATGCATCTCGGACACAGCTCATGTCATTGAAAACTTTGCAATGGGATAAAGGGTTACTGCACTTCTTCGATATACCACAACAAATACTACCAAGGATAAGAAGTTCTGCAGAAATATATGGTTACATCTCAGTAGGATCCCTTCTTGGAGTTCCTATTGCTGGGGTTAGTTACAAGAATTTTATGTGAAGAAGTTACTAATTCTTTCAAGTTAAACTTTCATCACTTACATTTAAAAGATATAAGTAATGAAATTAATGAATTTAAATATTATTACAGTGCTTGGGGGATCAACAAGCTGCATTAGTTGGACAAGGTTGTATGAGATTTGGTCAAGTCAAATGTACCTTTGGAACTGGTTGTTTCCTACTATACAATACAGGTAATAAGGTAATTATATCATAAAATTCGACTAAATATTTTATCTTTTTTAATTATTTATCAATATCAGTGTGATGTTTACAGGTGACTCCATAATACATTCGCAAAATGGTCTTCTCACAACAGTGGCTTATAAACTAGGCCCTGATGCACCACCAGTGTATGCTTTGGAAGGATCTGTGGCAATTGCAGGTAAATATAATTTAAAATCAAATCAAATTCGCCAGTATTTGTTCAGAAAATATAAGTGAACTGTTGAAATGTTTGTAATGTAGGTATTACGTAAAAAAGTGTATGTCCACATATGTACAGATAAATACTAGAATAATCTGAGAGAGATTATTTTAGTATTTATCAGTGCAACAGCATTTGATAAATTATCTGAACATAACATTTTTTGACAGGTGATACTTTACAATGGCTAAAAAATGGCTTAGAAATAATAAATGATGTACAAGATTCTGAAGTAGAAGCATCTGAAGTAAATGATGAGGAAGAAGGTAGTATATGCTTAGTACCAGCTTTTAACGGTTTATATGCACCATATTGGAGAAAAGACGCCAGAGGGTAAATACATTCATAGATTTTTTTTTTCATAATAATCTCAGGACAATTCACAGAGCGCCATCTAGACCCAAGTTAAGCTAGCTAAAGCTTGTGTTATGGGTATTAGATAACTGATACATATATATAGATATTTTTTTTTGTAAATACATACATATTATACAAAGAAAACAACCAGACTGATACAAACAATCATACTCATGAATACAAATGTTTGATGAACCCGTGGACCATTGGTCGCAAAGCGGTGTACCTGCTACTGCTAGACCACCGAGGTCGTCAATACCTATATTATATTATAATAAAAATTTTCATACGCTATTATAATATAATATAGGTATATGTAGTGTTAGTACTGTTAATATTTATATTTATGAGTATTACATTTTTTTTTTAAATAAACAATAGGCATGATGACTGATTTTTAAAAAAAAACTTAAGACTGATAGATAATTACATTTTAAAAAGTACAATTTAAATTTCGCGCAAAAACGCTAGAATAGCAATGGCGTCGTCTGTGACGTCAACCATTCGTAAACACTTGACAAGTGATAACTTTCTAAAGGATATGTAGTCTCTTTCTTTTGGATACCTGGTCATTCAGGTATTCAAGGCAATGTGACTGCAGATAGATTGGCTAGTGAAGCTATTGGGTGCGGCGATGTTTTTCCTTATAAAAATTATAGTCATGATTTGGCGGCTCTGCCTGTCTCTTATCTCCGGGATGCCTGGAATGAGACTTGGCCTATTAGCTGCCAAACCAAGGCCCGACATTACTTTAATATTTAACCCAAAATTCCGGTCAAACCTTGGTTTTATTGTGTTAAGCTTAGCAAACGCGCAACGACATCTCTTATAAGGATGAGATTAGGCCACATGAGTTCACCTTCACATTTGGCTAAATTAAAAATAGTGGACAGTAATGTGTGCGATTGTGGTATAGACGTGGGTGACTTGAATCATATTATTTTAAGTTGTCCTTTATATGATCATTCTATTCTTTTTCAATCCCTCATTTACCTTCAGATTCCTTTACCTACTTCCGTTCCAATATTACTGTTCATGGATAAATTTGAAATATATAATTTTATCTCCATTTTTCTGAGTAGCAACAATATTAAGCTCTAATCATAATATTATTATATTTTAAATATAAGCATTATCTCATTTGGTATCTATTTTCTTATATATAAAACATCATTATATGTATTCAATATTAGCATTAATATTCATTCATAAAACATATAATTTTCAAACATTTATTTCATATCTCTCCTTAACTTCTCTGATCCATATCCCAAAATCCAAAACTATCCTATTCCAAGTCCTATAGTTTCCCAAACTTTGATGTTGGCAAATGCACCATAGTGCCAAGCCATGACAAAAAAAAAAAAAAAAAAGTGATAACTTATAGTAGAGTTATACGTTTGTTTGTTGAAAGTTTTTGAAGATTTAAGCGCAATAATCATGAATCCCAATGTGTATCGATGGTGTGCGGTCCCTCAATGTACTAATACAATAATAAAAACGCAGAAGTTATTTAATTTACAAATAACGCAAAACAACTTTGTGAGAACGTCGCTCGAACGTTTTTATTTAATATTTTACGGCTCTGGATACAAGTCCTTTTTAGCCCAACATATAATACAAAACCTTAAAAAAATATATATAATTTCTTCTCAGTGTTGGAAATAAATTTATATAAACTATGTACAGCGTTGCCATCACGACAATAAAAAAAAATGCTAAACTGTTATTAAAATTTTCCCAAAATTATGCTAATTGTTTTAAAATAATACTAACATTCCTCAAATAAAACATCATTTGTTTACGTACACGTTTTTATTATATCTTTAAAATAAATTTTATTTTATGTTTTATTCAATTATGTTATAGAACAAAATAAATATGGGAGGAAATGCTAGATTTTCTCCCACTCTAATCGGTAATGCTGACTTTAGATAATTTAGGTGGCATATTAACGACTATCAAGCACTGGTAAAATTTTATAGACTAAAATTTCAATTCAAATTACAGTATGCCTTTATTGTATTCTATTTCTATTTCACATCTTATTGTATAAGAAAAAAGGAAGTGAAAAGATGCTGTTGCACATAGCCTATAAACGGTGACTTGAACAAACACCAAAAAGCAAAACAACTAAAATTATGCCAAATCTAGCATAAAATATGTTATGACAACACCGATGTTGTTTACGAATGAGTGACGTCACGCGCCCCGATTGGTATTGGATCTATCATGGTGGATTGTTGTTTAGCATTTTTATTTTTACTAAAATAAATGTAATCTGAAAATAAATGTTTAAATATGAATCAGCCTATCATATAAAATTACATGAAATCCTGTTTTCGGATATTGTTAGATAGTGTCATCATGCCTAATGCCTTAAATATTTCAGGTAGATATTTAATAAAATGTACAGTTATTTTTATTATATCCATAGCTTTTGTATCTTTTTTGCTTCAGAATAATATGCGGGATGACCAATAAAACAAGTCGGCGTCATATAATTCGCGGGGCCCTTGAAGCCGTGTGCCAACAAACGCGTTCCGTGGCCGCCGCCATGGAGGCCGATTGCGCACCGCTGCACCGCCTGCTCGCAGACGGCGGCATGGCGCAGAACTCCGTGCTTATGCAAATGCAAGCTGATGTGCTTGCCGTGCCTGTAGTATGTACTAATTACGTGTCTGTCTTTGTGTGTTTAACACTACATGTATATGCATATATAGTATAAATAATGGAGATGTAACAAAGAAACTTGTTTTATAATACTAGTAATCAATTATATATATTGTCTTTTTCAGATTCGCCCCTTAATGATGGAAAGCACAGCATTAGGGGCGGCGATAGTAGCAGGCCGGGCGTTACGTGTATGGCCCGCGTCTATACCTAGTCCTCCTGCTGATATTTTCCTGCCATCTATAACAAGTGAAGGTACCTAGTTAGATAGATAAAAAGCTTTATTTTTCAAATTTTTACATTATTTACTTTTCTTATGTGACATTACTAAATAAATAAAAAGATAATACTTACATTTCGAATAAATCAAAATTAATAATTTTGTGATAGAATATAATAGATTTTTTCTTTTCGTTAAATATATTAAAAAAATAAAAAAATATTACAGACCGAGAGATTAGACGCGTCAGATGGGAATCGGCTTTAGATCGCTGCATGGGATGGTCAACAAATAACAACGAGGAGGAATGTGCTACTCAGGCTGGTAATTGATTTTGATCTTTATTATAACTTTGTAGAAAATTATATTAGATCATTATTCTGCCGCCTGTTTCATGATCTTTCATCGTATGTCGTGCTATATAACATCCACTGTTGATGAACTGTTTTTTTTTTATGAAGACACCATTACAGTTTTGCTAATAAACAAAGTTTTTGTTTACAGATGAAATAGATAGAACAAATGCTGTTCTTCCACCAGGTCTGTTTTTTTTCTTGGAACTGCACTACTAGTGATCATAGCAGATAAATTAAAAGCGATTTAGTGTGTAGTTATGTAGTACACAATGGGCTCAACCTCAATAGTCATCGTAACATTATTTCCAAAAATTAGTTTGTACGTAAATTAATAATTTATTTTGTAGTGTTGTTATCTGTTGTGATAAATATATAACAAATTATATTACATTAAAATTTTTATTTCAAATCCTTTTCGATATTGTTAGAAGACGAAGTTACCTTGACCTTAAAGCACCATAGCCATCAACCTATACCATGATGCAAATAAACCAAGGGAACTAAATGCAAAAATTCTTATGGAATTTTCTCTGTTGACTTATTTAATAAATAATTCAGCTATTGTTAACTTCTGCAGACAAAATATTACTTACGAAAATTTGACCAATATAGTGATGGGCCATATGCTTGCTTGCTACCACTGCAGTATAAAAAAATCTATTTTCATTATGTATTATTAATATATAAAATGTATTAATTATGACTTATACCTCTTACAAAATTTGTAGATAACAAATTTAATTGTGTAAAACAATGACTTAGTTTTATTATTACACTATTAACTGAAAACAGAGAAAGAGAATAATAAATATCAATAATGAATATTAAATATAGGGACAGTTAATATTACTTAAAAATATCCATTATAAATTAAATTTTATCCCTTTATGACAGCAATGGGCCGTAATTTCACAGTCTTTTTACTTATTCCAGCAGCGTGACATGTATTCACGACGTCTGTAACATTTTTGTATGATTCTGGTGCTTCTTCCATTACTAATTTCGGTGACGCCACGCGGATTGAAATACCCATAGATTCTAACTTTACTAGGACATCTTTGTAATCTATATTTCGTCTAGATTTGGCGCGAGATAATGCCCGCCCCTGTGAAATAAAAATAAATATTTAATTAAAGATATTTCAGGGCCAATAGCATAGACTTTTCTTAAATCTGATAAAGTTTTATTTTGTTGTGATATTATGTCATATTTTGATGATTGATGATATTGTCTGTAACATTATTTGACATTAATTTGGCTTACAAAATAGTCTTAATATTGTCTAATATGTAATTCAGATATTTATTGAAACAGTTTAAATTGTCAAATAGTAAAGTAATATTATTACAGTAACTAAGTTCATAAAACTATTGTTGCCAATGCTGTTCAGATCAAATAAAAACATACACTTGCACCTGAATATTTACATATATAAATAAGGGTTTTGATATACTAAAATATATAATATACTAACAGCTCCATGGCATGTAGATCCAAATGTTTCGGTCATTCCTTGATGGGTGCCAGTCAATACATAGCTGCAAGTTCCCATTGTTCCACCAATGAGAACTGGTTGTCCAGTTAATTGATAATCAACTGGTATAAGAGGGTGGTGAGGAGGGAATGCTCTTGTTGATCCCTAAAAATGGAATAAGAATACATAACATAAATTATTAATTAAACAAGCACAAGTATAACTTATTCCACAAAACATGTGAGGCCACAAAAATAACTTACTTAATTATGAAACTTCAGTTTTGGTGAGTATGTCATGAGTGAGTTTATCATGCTAGATGATATCGAAAAAATATAATTAAATTCAGAACCTCCTTTCAGCAGTCAATTTAATAGACCTAAACCATGAACTTTATTAAATTATGAATATAAAATAATTTTAAACTATCCTTGGGTCAGTTTCTATACCACACCTCGCTCAATTATTAGTAGGGACTAATAATTTCTTTTAATGAAACAAGAATGGTAAATGATACAATTCCCCTAATAAAAAGTAATTATGTTAACCCTTGTCTCTAAACATGAACAGCACCAAAGATAAAATACATACATTGTGATTCCTCTAATGTGTCATGTTATAAATTCTAAGGACATAATACCATGTAATTTTACTAGCAGGACAAATACATGAGAAAGAGTATCAGCATTATTGTATCAATTTTTGTATTAGTTACAATTATAAATAATCTGGTACCTTTCTATGAACAAGTAATGTTTTCACTTTGCCATCTACAACATGTTCTTCCATTTTGGCAATATTATGTGATACATCATATATAACATGCATATCTAAATCATCAGGAGCCATTTTAAACTGTTTGGCAAATGCTTGTCGAGTTAAGAAAGTCATGGAACTGCGATTCACCCAAGCAAAGTTAGCAGCAGCAGCCATTGATTTTAAATAGTCTTGACCTTCTACAGAATTAATTCTTGCACAAGCTAACTGCCTGTCATTTGTCTCAATATTATCTCTCTTCATAGCTTTTTCCATTTGTACTAATGCATCAGTTGCTACTTGATGGCCAAATCCCCTACTACCTGAATGAATCATAACACAAACTTGACCAACTCTTTCCAAACCCATTTTACCAGCTGCATATTTATCATAAATCTCATCAACTACTTGTATTTCAGCATAGTGGTTACCAGCACCTAATGTACCAAGTTGGGGCAGTCCTCTCTTTTTAGCTCTAAGGCTAACTTTAGAAGGATCAGCATTTAACATACGTCCATATTCTTCACAATGTTCTTTATCTTCGGCCCATACATAACCTTCTCTCAGAGACCAGTCCATTCCCATTTCTAAAGCTTCTTCCATATCACGGGCATTCATAGGAATAATTCCTTTTGAACCTACTCCCACAGGAATATGATCAAAAAGGCTTTGAGTTAATTGTTCCTGAAAGTTTTATAATGAATATAATAAATAGAAATTAAATAAGTATCTGGCACCTTTCTAACAATAATAGAATTGTATTAGTAATTATGAGAATAATTTAAGTGTATTACTGTTTCTTATCAAGACTTGAATCACAAATTCAAATACAAAAATTTTCTGCTTTAAAATATGATGTTAAATGGCACTAAATAATAAAAATATGTATAAGAATGAAAATATTCTCATACCTTGAAGACTAGAAATCCTGTCTAACCATATGAGAATTCTCATATTAGTCAAAAAAGCTTTCTAATAGCATGAAATATGATATATATGTATATAATATTACTGTAAAGATAAAAATGTCTCTCATTTACAAAGCTTGAAAGTTACCTTGATTTGATTAACCATTGTAAGGTTATTAAAATAGTTATTATATATTAAGAATATGATTTGTTATAAGTATTCATGCATTGGTATTATTACTACAATCATTTGTATAAACTTTGTAATCGGTATTTTAAATGTGATTTTATACCTTAATTGGCTGAACATCTTTTTCATGTAAGTTTGTCCTTAAAAGACGTACACCACAGTTGATATCAAAGCCTACACCACCAGGAGACACAATTGATTTTGGATCTGACATATCAAAAGCTGCCATATTTCCTGAAAACCATATACAATTTCAACTTTTCTTTATAAAAATTATTATATATACTCGCTTTGTCTGAACAATTTACATGAACAAATATTGATTTACTAAATTATTTACATGTATAATTTACATTACACATGTAAATAATTTTGTAATGTTGCTGTCACTGTAAAATGTTGGTAAAAAAATCAATATTTTACACCTCTGTAATCTAATGTACTAGCACACTGCCTGTTCGGTTCGATTCTTCAAATAGTATAGTATAGTAGTAGTAGTTACGATAGCTTATTATAAGACAGCAAATACAAGCATTTAAATAAATACCTATAGCAAAACCATATCCAGAATGAACATCTGGTAGGCCTACAGACCGGCCAACTATTCCCGGCAATGCTGCTACGTTTGCGATCTGTTTTACGCCGGGTAGAAACCCTCCCGTCATACCAGGCCTACAAGAATTTTTTAATTCATCTAACATGAGTTTTTCAAGAGTATTGTTCACATAAAATACTCCTTCAACATTCATGTTAGGTTGGAAACCTTTCTTGATCCTCCAACAATAGGGATTGATCTTCTCTAGATACTTTAATTCTGCGTTATATTCTCTGACCACCATTTTATTATTTTTATGTAGATTCAATGTATATCTTAATTTCACTATATACACTTATAAATTAAATATATAATTAATAAATATGACAAAATTTAAAAATATATATATCAGTCAAGCAAGCCGATTAAGAACCACAGAGGCCACAGAACCACTAATATTCTTCCGGAATCATCACAGAGTACTAAAGCTAAATTGTAGGCTTCTGTAGTGTGGAGAACGCAGTTTGAAATACCGCGTAATGTCTGTAGGATTATAACTTATTAAACAGCGTATTATAACTTTAGAATAAGCTGTATCATCTTATTAAAAAATGTTGAACATTTTATTCTTTATTTTGTATTCTGTCCTCTCTATCTTTAGTATTTGTCCATTCCCAAAAAGATGAAAAAAAGCGTAAAATTCTTTGGTTGCCATGTTGGTAATACTCTAAAACTGTCAAAAACTACCAACAGAACAGAATCAATTTGTTTCGTAATCTATCTGAAAAATAGAATTGATTATTTTCGTAATTTGGTGGTAATTTAGTACTTCGGAAAAGAAAGTAGTTTATAATATTTATTATCACCAATGGCTGCCATAATTAAATTCCGGCACATGCCCGTAGTACAAAGATGCGTCTGGAACCACATGAACAGAACATCTAGAAATATTTCTACGTCTAAAAAAAATAGTGATACAGCAACAACTACTTGTGATACTAGTGAAAAAGACAAAAACTGGGTGAGCTACGGATTCGACTACACCAGTAAGGACGAAGATACAAATGCACATCACGCCTCTTTCTTTTTCTCCGTATCATTGTGTTTGGTTTTTGGTGGTTTCTTATGGGCCTATTCTCCTGATGTACACATGAGAGATTGGGCACAACGTGAGGCATTTTTGGAATTACGCCGTCGTGAGAGAGCTGGTCTGCCACCTATCGATCCTAATTTCATTAACCCAAAATCAATTAAACTACCCTCAGAATCGGAATTAGCTGATGTTGAAATTATTATTTAATTCACATTGAACAATGTTCCCGAAATATGAACATCGATTCATATCCGACACTTTGTAGTATAAATAAAATGACTGTTTCAAAAAACAAAAAGGATATATGGCACAGTTTTGCATTTGGACAACTGAAACTCCATGTCGAAATGATCATGCATTAAAGATCAATGTTACGTGAAGTTAAGTGGTGCTGTCAAACAATGAAGCTATCAGCTTCAGTTGCTAGAAAGAGATGGGACTGGGTCATCAATCATACAGAAACAAAGTCCTGAAAAAAAATTATAGTCCATCTATATAAGTTAAATATCATTCATTCTTCTCAGTTTGGTAGGACCACATCATAAGCATGTACCATATCTTCTTTTTTCGGTTGTATTTACATCCTCCATGATTATTTATATTTTGGATTGACATGGACTCATTTTGTATCAATTGTTTTCAATTACAATTTAGAAACTGCTGGAATTAATTAGTACAGTTATTTCAATAATATTATATTATTATTGTATATAAATTATCTAAATAGGTAAAATAAATAAAACTAATATGTACATAATTATATCTTTTATTTTGTAAAATTTATACTTTATTTATTTATATGTGGTTGGAGTGTGCCAATACTCATAAGAAATAAAATCAGGAATAAGCCAAATGTAAACACAAATGTGTTCATATTACAACATGCCAAGAAGAGTAACATGATTAGTACAGCTTTATATATAAAAAAAAGTATTTAGCCAGCAAATTAACCTAAAGGGATAATAATTTATAATGACTACTGAGGAAGAAACTCTTTTGTTTTTTATTATCCCATCATGACCAATTCATCACAAATTAAGCACTAAAGTTTTATTATACCTATAATTTCTGAGTACTTGAGTTACTATAACTAAAATTCGATATGATAGACAAATAGGTCAGTAAGTTTGAGTAGGTTTCTGTGCAGACATACATATCACCCCCTTTACTACCTAAGAAAAGATACCTACGATAGATATAATGTTAGCCTGTATACTAGTATAGATAGTGTTAATTATGGTAGATCCTAATTAATATATCTTTGACCAAGGTATGCTTTGTACAGAGCCTATTCCTGTCTCATCTGTAATCCACATATTCAAAGAGCTTATTTTGTACCATGATTAATATGTGTTTCTGTTGTAGAACGAGATATGGCAGTGAATTTGTATTACAGAGGCATAACACCTTAGTCCTGCGGAATGACAATGCATGAGGAACACCATGAGTCCACATGCATCACATAATAATGTAAAGTCAGTTGTGTTGTTCACGACGATGGTTATCACTTATAATAAGCGACTACTTGTTTATTCCAGTTATCTATAATCATCAGTACATATAAATTAAATTGGAGTATCTGTTTGTAATATTAAAATAACCGTTTTTTACTACATGCATATGAATATAAATACGGTACATACACTAAAATAACATTTTTTACAATTTTTGTCTGTCTGTCCATCTATTTGTTCCGACTAATAATACATAAAAAACGGTGTCAGCCTCCACGCGTCCTATTCATCATGATGGGTTAAACTGCTTTCACACAAACTATTCTTCCTCCCGTTAAAACTGCATATGCACAATTGCCTGTGCCAACAATAGCGTTTATGCAAACATCCAGATAGAGCTCTCCGGCTGGTTCTAACTGATCACCAGCTATTTTCCAACGGCGGATATACCCATCCCACCCACCGGTAAAAGCATACTCGCCGTGTACAGATAAGCTTGTTACTATCATGTCGCTAACCTGCCGTAGAAAAAGAACGGAAAAGATTTTTGTTTTACTATATTATACTTATTATTACATTAATTGTTTACTATTATTTGTAATTTTTATTATATCTAAATAAAGTAAATTAGTAAAAAAGATAAATTATACCTTGATTAGTATTAACTTTATTCAGCGAATAAAAAACTTAAGCTAAAAGCACTAATTGCGCATTATTTGTCTAGTGATAATTGGTATGAAAAGCTCCTTTCAAGTAGAAAAGGGTCACCAGTCGCAATGTGATAAAGCTACACAGCGTACTAAGAAGTAAAATGGGTTATGGTGAGAGTGGTAGAATAATGAAGTACGCTAGCAGGTCACCAAATGGAGATAATAAAATTCACCAGGAATTGTGGTTGTGGTCGTCGTGTTAGCAGGCAAGTGTGGTGTAGGTACTGTATAAGGGCACTAGAGATGAAACGGATATCCGGTAATTATGGGGTATTCGGCTTATCCGGCCGAATTTCGGAAAACTACTAAAAAATCTGGGTAAAAAAAATTTTTTTTAAAGTAATTATTTGCTTTATTAGTTAGTCTTAAGGAATAAAATTAGTTTAAGTTTTAAATTTTTAATCATTCAATAGTAAATGACTGTTATAGAAAGAAAATGAAATTATTAGTTAGCTAAGTTCCGGGCGGATATCTGGCTATTCGGTCACATAGTTGGCCGAATATCCGGTATCCGGCCAAACTGCTATCCGTTTCATCTCTAAAGAGCGCTGACACTGCCCCCCCTCCCCTTATTTTAATGTGCCAGTGTCAGTGCCCATAGTATGTACATACACATACTATGACCATACTAGTGGCACTCAATGAGGAAGTAGCCATTATTATTGCTAAAAGTTGCATATAGATGGCGTGATTGGTATCGATGGAATTCTTCATAGTTTTGCAAACGTTTTAAAAAACAAAACTGTGTTTTCAAAAATGTTTAATCAATTTTTAAAAAGTTATATATACATGTTAAAATGAAATAATGCGTTTAGAAAAGTAATTTTCATATATTTACTCATTTTGTTATTTTCCAGTACTTAATTACACTTTAATCAATGCTAATATGGGGCTCAATGTTTTCAAAATGCTTTCATAGATGGCATTGTCGTCATTTGTATCGGCCTAATTAAATGTCTTTTTTATATTTATTGTAAATTAAACATATAAAATTTTTTTAAGTAAATTAAAAATAGCCGAACAAGCAAGTAATACTATTTCCAATAATACTTATGTATGAAGTGTTGTCATATTAAAAATCAATACTTGTATTATCGATTTTTTGGAATAATCGATAACAGGATTTTATTACAGCGCATTATTCGATGATGCTTTTAATGAGTCGTTGTGAACAGTAAATTTTCATTATTTTGTATTATAGCAGTGTTCCGTTTCAAAGAACGGAATATAGTAGTACATTATTAGTGTCGTTGGTTATTTAAATTTGTACTGAAAAATCGATTACATAATAATTTAAAATATCGAGTACGAATCGTAGCTGTCTTCGAATACTGGCAACTGGTAAGATTAAAATAGTATTTAAAAAAAAGAGACAAATCGACCCTAACTCGAATACCATAAAGTTGATTTTCCTTTCTCATTAATATCATAGCAGTTTGTTTTTAACTTGCGTATGACTCTGTGGTATGATGTTTAACGTGTATTGTTATTGCACGGTGCATATATTTCAAAAATTATATTTTAATGTAGGTACATACATTTCTTTCATACATTTCATACATGTCAAAAATTATCTTTTAATGTAGGTACATACATTTCTTTCATACATTTCATACATGTCAAAAATTATCTTTTAATGTAGGTACATACATTTCTTTCATACATTTCAAAAATGAACTTTTTATGTAGGTACATACATTTTTTTCATACATCTCATACATTTCAAAAATTATATTTTAATGTAGGTACATACATTTCTTTCATACATTTCATACATTTCAAAAATGAACTTTTTATGTAGGTACATACATTTCTTTCATACATCTCATACATTTCAAAAATTATATTTTAATGTAGGTACATACATTTCATACATGTCAAAAATTATCTTTTAATGTAGGTACATACATTACTTTCATACATTTCAAAAATTATATTTTAATGTAGGTACATACATTTCTTTCATACATTTCATACATGTCAAAAATTATCTTTTAATGTAGGTACATACATTTCTTTCATACATTTCAAAAATTATCTTTTAATGTAGGTACATACATTTCATACATTTCAAAAAGTATTTTTTAATGTAGGTACATAACACCCCATGTCAGACCCCTTGTATTTGGAAGAAACTTAAAAATAATGCCAAAAATATTAGATGAATATATTTTTAATACGAATATTGTTTTATTTTTGTTCATCAACTTTATCCCTCACTAACAATACTAGTAGTAGTACATAACCTGGTTTATACCGCTAAAGATATTGAAAGATATACGAGTAATTCAGAATGTTATCAAGTTCAAAATAAGCACACATTACTTGCTTAGATAACAGAGTAATATTACTCGTAATAAAAACATTTGTAACACCTATATGTATACTACGTATGTATAGTAAGTACTTACGCTGCGGCGCCGTGAGACTCGTCTACCTCATCTACTCATCTACGCCGACCGACTATACTAATCTACGCCTCTCGTGTTTCCAGAAAGTTCGCGACTAACGGACGATATAGTAGTAAGGCAATGAGTGTCCCAGTGACATCATTATAATATTTTCTCGTTAAATTTTATTGTAATATACACAATTTCGCACTAAATAACGTGTTACCCCGTTACACATTTCTAATAATGAAAAACCTAGACCGACCCTGTTCACTTAATCTTACAAGATCTGACTTTAAAAATTACGATATCCTCATATAGCCTTTCATTTCGCCTTTCAATACTTTTTCGCATTAAAAAGTAGCCTTTCTCAGGGTCTACATTATCTGTCTACCAAATTTCAATTAAATCAGTTCAGTAGTTTTGGCGTGAAAGCGAGACAAACAGACAGACTGAGTTACTTTAGCATTTATAATATTTGTAAGAATATCGCTATTAAAAATAGGGGTTGGTGAAAGACCACCCGTCTTTCACAAAATTTAGGCGTGTATGTATTTTCAATGTAACATTATAAATAAATAAAAAATTGTCCATAATACAAAAAAATATTTTTTCGGGGTAGGCCACCCCTATGACTTGGGGTATAAAAAATTAGATAACAACCCTACTTCAGACCTGGCAAGTATACATATCAAATTTCATCAAAATGTGGGAGAAATATGGCAACTAACACTGTGATACAAAATTTATATATAAGATATAGCGGAATTCTCATTAGGTAAAAGAGGGGTACATCGTAGAATACATGAGGTATATACCAGTAAATTAATTATAGCTAAAATCAGTCTCTTACACATAACGATTGAAATAAAAAATCATATAGCCCGATTTTGATACGTACGAGTATAAACGTATCAAAATCAGGCTATACGTATAGCGCAGACGCGTTACAACATATCTTCGTCGAGAGAAAAAAATAGGCATGGAATGTAGAATAAACTATAACATAATATATACATTGGCACATAAGCCATATCTGCAGAGTGTCGACTAACGATATTATACCTACACATTTACATTGAATCTTGAATCGTCCCTAATGAGGTACACGATACAGTTACCTGCATATCTATTGTATACCTATCTTTGCAAAACAGATGTCATGTAGACTGAATTGACTGCCATCTATTTTCGTGCTTTGTCACTAGTAATGCGAACTGCTTCAGATCTAGAGACATCTAGCGGCTACGGCGGCGAAATAAAATAGCCCGAAGAATAGCCCGAGTTAGGAAGGAACCATTTTCTTGTATGGGATGGGGTATCTGTATGTAATATTATGTTATCTGTGACCATACTAATAATAGAATAGACAAAGAATGTAGATGTGCAAAGTTTTAGGTTTATTTTTATTTCTTTATAGTTACAAGTAGATTATATATAATGAATAGATAAAATGTTATATATAACAACTTACCCTACCTACAAAACAAACTTTTTAAAAACTCGTTATGTGGTGAGGGGTACAAGTTCTTGCTAGACATTTATAAAAAAATTAACAGAAACGAACAAATATACCATATTCAGTAAGCATTTGTTAAGACTGATTTTCCGGCAAGAGTAGCTATCGGTTATTGTTTGGTAATGGAGTAGGGAATATACTAGAATATGGGGTCCCAAGCCATCGCGGGCACGTGCCCAGCGTGCCCAGTAGGGAAGAGGGCCCGGGTGTATTTGTGTAATAAGAGGTACAGACGTAACTTTATACGGCTGCCATTATAATTATCCGAATTAAGAGAAATGTACCTCGGACTGCGTTATCGCCATAGAATATGTATCATCGGTGCATAGTCGACCTTTCTGATAATGAACGGTTCCGGGTTCAAAATTGAAGAAGTGTCGAGACATTTCGTTCATGAAAAGATTGTGCTGTCTACAAGGCTTAGATGTTGCGGAAGGTACTTTTGCCAGATTTCTAGGTTGATTAAATTAGTAGAACTCCTAAGTAACTTGGCCAAAGGTGATATTTAACAAATTTACTCGATAAATGACTCGTAAAGTAATGACAATAAATTAAGTACGGATAGATAATGGTATGTATTTACAATTATTCCGACGTCCTAAAAAACCTGACTACTTACCTTCACTTCATGTAATTGTTTAAATCTAGCCTCTGCAGTAGCATCATACAATCGTAAAACATTGGCACCTCTAGCCATTACTAAGAGACGTGACCCTGCTACACGTAAAGGCGCGGTTCCTTCCATAGTGTGACGAGTAATAAAGCGAGTCTTTGATTCACCTGAAAAATAAACTAAGTTAATATTATATCCCATAAACATATACTTTTACATTGTTGATGTATCCTTAGGTATTTTTGACAAAGAGACAATTCTATCAATCCATTAATTATAATTACTTAAGAAACAAAAAAGCCAAATTACAACGTGCTTCTATTTGAAGTCGGTTGTAAAGTTACAAGTCACTTACCCGGTTGGATTTCTGTCACTGTAACATCAAGATCTCGTACAGTGAATAGGAACGGCGAACTATACCATAAGTCTTTTACCTCTTCTAATACATTGTATCGAGCTATTTCGTCGTTATTTTTGAATACTATAACCTAAAAATTGAAAAACAATTGAATTCATATTAGAAGTACTGAGTTAAATCCAAGTATTGTTTAATTTTATTACAGACTAGCTGTACCCGCGACTTCGTCCGCGTGGAATTATACTTCATTTTTCTAAAATAAAATAATAATTCTAAAATAAAAGTAGCCTAAGTTACTACTTATTACATTAGCTACTTGCCAAAAAAAGTTCCTTCAAAATCGGCCCAGCCATTTCAGAGATTAGCCGGAACAGACAGACAGACAACAATTTAAAAAAATTTTGTTCTGGTGGATGTACCGTATTTATTTCATATGCATGTAGTAAAAAACGGTTATTTCAATATTACAAACAGGCACTCTCAATTTTATTTATATGTACAGATGTAGGTAATTAGTGATATTCTGAGTATTATCATGAGATTGCTGTTACAGATGTGCAGGTGATACTCGATATTTGGGTGATTTAAATTATCAACCTATATATATCGGCGCTGACATGATTCGGGAATTGTACTGTCACAAGATCTTTGAAAATGAGAGTTTTAATTATAATTATAATGTTTGCTATTACTGTGAAATGTAATTGTAGAATTAATATTTATAGAAACTATTATGATTAATAATTTTTGATCGAATAATAACTAATTAATTATAATTCGATCAAGTTATCAATTAACTAGGCGCTTAATTGATAACTTGATAACACGATGTATTTACCAGTGCTAGAATTGTTTTAAAGCTATTCTGTTAAATCGTGGTTACTTTCAAATGTCGATTAAGGGTGAATCAAAGCCGCATAATTAACACTGTATAGTTTCTATTACTCGAATAATTTACTGATTTTATAAACAGAAATTAAGGCACTCAATTGTCTGCCATAATTTATTACAGAAATTGGGGCAGTCAATTGACTGACAACATCGTTAACATAAACCCTAATTATAATAACAAAAACATGTAATTTAATAACTATCATTCTTAATAGTATTTTAGAGAATTATAACTAGCTCAGCTTGTTATAATTCTCAAGCAATTAGGTAATACGAAATCTATAATCATAAAGAGTTGTTAAACTGTGAGCGAGTACATGAGCATTCGCTCTGATTGGTCAGCACACTAGCGCCTCTTCTTGTACTCGAACACGGTTGGGGTGGTCAGTTACTGAGTTACCATCTTACAGAGTTACACAGTTACGGAGTGACTGAGTCACCGTGGAGCCAGGTTTTGTACCTGGCTTACATGACTTTGTAAGTCATGTCTGCTTAGAAATAATAATAATAGTTAATTAAAAGAGCAACAGACAAGTTTCTTGCTCATTTTTCTTGTGATGAATCTGCGTTCCGAATGAGTGGTAGAATCACAAATACAGTAACTATTCAAACGTGCTTATATTAAGTTTGTTTCATTATAATAACCTACGAGTTAACAATTGAGATATTCTTGACCATGTTGGTCGAGAATAACGCAAGTGACGTCAGAGTATCTAACACATAACTATATTTAAAAGGCTACGTGAACTGCATCTGCTACGACATATATATATATATACATATATATATTGGTCACAGTATGATTAGTAATAAAATGTCTAATAATAAATAATAACAATCCCGAACAATTCACACAGCACCTTCTAGTTCCAAACTAACCAGAGCTTGTATTATGCGTAAATACTGATATTACTTAATCTAAAACACATTCAGACCTAACCTATAGAAACAATCATCATACATGGAATATATAACTGATACTGTATCGTATAATCGTAATGAAGATAATTAGGTGGCACTTTATGTGTAATAAGTGGATGAAACCACCACTCAATGGATCAAAGCAATGCTCTCAAATCGAACCATTAAAACTACTCTTCATAACAGTACGTTAGAAATCCGACCTACCAAAGGATGCCCTCAAGGAGGCGTTTTATCGCCACTGCTGTGGCTACTAACGGTAGACCAGCTCTTAGATGTTATGACCAAAAACCAATTTGAGGTACAAGGCTACGCAGACGATTTAGTAGTCATGGTCAGAGGGTTCTGTGCAACAACAATATCAGACCGCATTCAAAGAGCACTAAACATCATAGTTAAATGGTGTAAGGAAAATGAATTATCAGTAAATCCTGATAAAACAGTAATTGTTCCGTTTACAAAAAGGAAGAAACTTGAAAAACTTGTCATGCCTAAAGTAAATGGAAGAATATTAGAGTGCTCCAAAGAAGTCAAGTACCTGGGCGTAACCTTCGACCAAAAACTGACATGGAACACACACATAGACAACATAACTCAAAAGGCGAAAACATCCCTAGGAATAAGCCGACGGGTAGCGGGGCCCAGATGGGGAATTAACCCCAAAATTGCCCTATGGCTTTACACAGCAGTGGTGAGACCGCTTACCACCTATCCCTGCGTAATCTGGTGGCGGAAAATCCTCCAATCCACAGCTGCCACCAAGCTAAACAGCCTACAGAGAATTGCTTGTCTGATTATTACAGGAGCCATGAGCACCACGCCGGGAGCAGCTCTAGACGCATTATTGGACTTGACGCCCCTTCCTTTATTTATACAGGAAAAGGCGAAAGCCAATATGCTCAAAATAAGTTCCCAAAGGAGGATATCTTGGCATTCCCTGGCCATAAAAACTATACAAGACTCGATAATGAGTGATCCTATTCTGGGAATGCCTGAAGACAACATGGCACCAGAGTGTAACTTTGTTCAATATTACAAAATCGAAATATCTGGAAGAGACGAATGGCAAAATAACCATACACCGACTCACTCAGAGCATGACCTAGTCTGGTTTACAGACGGGTCCAAAATAGGAGATGATGTAGGATGTGGAATATACGGTGTAAAACCCAAAATCTGCAACTATATAGGCTTAGGAAAATACTCTCTTTCAGGCAGAGACTTACGCCTTAATTAGATGTCTGGAAGTAATCCTAAGCCTCAACTACATCAATCAGAACATATACATTTATTCGGATAGTCAAGCTGCTCTACTAGCACTTAACTCGCACGAAATCCGTTCTAAACTTATTAGAAACTGTATCCTGCTACTAAATGAAGTAGGAAGCAGAAATAATATTATACTGAGATGGGTCCCCGGGCATTCAAATATTGAAGGCAATGAGAATGCCGACCATCTGGCAAAGTTAGGGGCAAAAACCGTCCAACTGGGCCCCGAACCCTTCTGTGGTGTGCCTCGTTGCCTAAAACTGGGACATCTCAAATTAATAACCAAACGAGAAGCACTGAATCACTGGCAAGAAATGCCAGGATTAACACATTCAAAAGACGTAATATCGGGCTTCTCGACCAAATACTCCAATAGATTACTGCTATTGAGTAAAAACAACATATGCATGATGACTAGGACCCTCACAGGACACTGCAAATTAAACAAGCACATGGCCAAACTAGGCCTATGCACGACAAGTATCTGCAGATTCTGCCAAACTGAAGAGGAAACGGCGCTTCACATCCTATATGGCTGTAGGCCACTCATGCATAAACGAAATATCTCCTTTGGAAAGTTTACACTCTTTCCCGAGGAGATAAAAACGATCGCTCCTAAGAATATCCTTCAATTCTTGTCCCTGACGGGTCTAGGTAGCGAACTCTGAAAAGGGCGAGCACAATAGATCTATGTAGGAGCACAATAGATCTATTATAGTGCTACAGGTGCTACACATCTGACAATAGCCCAAACAATCCTATAAAAAAAAATATGTATAAAATAGAATGCCTATCTAACATATTATTTTATAGAAACTTAAATTTTCACACATTAGGTACATATGAACTCCCGACTCAGTGTAACACGCTTCCACTCAACTAGATTGTAGGCATCTTAGTATTAACTCCCTATTAATAGCTAATATTAATAAAAAATAATTATTCTGTTATTATTAATATCAAGATTTGTTACTCACATTACCACTTTCATCTCCCGCGTAAACACCTTCGTCGAAGACGTGTAATACACCTACGTCGGCATCAGCAGTCCGCAGTTCAATAATTTTCTCTCCATCTGCAGACCACACTCGTATTCCACCATCGTTAGATGAGGAATACACATTGTCATTATGAGCAGCTAATGCAAAAGGTTGTACAGTGTGCGCCGTCCACGAGGCAGCCGGAGTTAAGTCGGCGTTGAACGACTACATCAATAATCATAGAAAGATATGGATTTGTAAATAGCTACGAGTACCTATGATAATAAAGTCATCTACGGTATTACATCTGCCTTACACAATTTTACAGCTAAGAAGTTTGCTTCGAAGCTGTGTTGCAGTATGAAAAGTAAGACGGAGGCATAACATAGATAGGTATATGTTGCCATTCCGGAGGAAACTCCATTGCCGTCATATGCCTACATATCAGTAGTGCTATTCATGTGTATAGGCGCTGGTTGGCACTTTGTTCACTATTTCAATTACAGTAATATATTATGGCTATTATATAGGAGTAATTAGCATCATAGTTATGAGTTCACAGACATAGATAAAATTTGCAATAACATAAATAACTTTTTACAGATATTACCATATCTACAAGTACAATATTTTGTAACTTACTTTTATGGAGCCATCATCCGTACCCACGTATAATTTATTATTCCAAGCAGCCACACACGGTTCGCTATTGATATTTGTTTCAGTTTCGACTTTCAAAGACATTATATATCTGTTTACCCAATATTTTTATTATTATATATTTTCATATACGTCTGTCTTAGTGCAATATTACCAGAAACTACAGGAACGTCCCATTCCGCTCATATACAGGACCAAAATAGACTGTGCAGGCGTACGATGAACTTTGTTTATTGAGAAGTTGAAAGCATTCTAGAATGGTCTCTATTCTTCGTCAACTACTCGATTCTTATTAATCAAGTTGAAATGTTTAACATCTTATCTGAGTTATTTGTAACTTTCAGTCTCACGTAAATAGGATGTTCCACATCAATTAGATATCCAAAATTCTATCATCGTCATTAACTGAGAAGGCAATTTGTGATGTAATAATATAAGAAATGGCATTACCTACCAATCTTGTCTAATAATAAGTTAATAGCGATGTGTTTATGTAACTTGAAACATCTATTTATTTCAAATACGCAGGTATGGTACCACCTACCCGTACGTTCCTTTGCACTGACCAAAAGTTTTTACTCGCATTCAATTTTGCCTTCCTATCTAACTACTAATCCTGTACGAAGTTAGGGAATAAAATAAAATTATAATGTAAAAATTTGACGTTCGTAAGCGGCTAAAATGTCCTACATGAATAAATGATTTTTGAATTTGAATTTGTATATTTATAATTATAACTATTTTTATATTTATAACGATATTCTGGTTTGATAGTATATGTAGCTCGAAAATTTTTTAATAGATTATTTCATTATAAAGCCGTAACAATATCAATTAAGTCAGTGTTAATTTATTTTTTACTTACCATATAGCCATTATCGTGTAGTTAAAAGTACGGACATCTCAACACTAGTTCAGGACATGTATGTGACCTTACTTGTTGCTTTTCTGGAGGACTGAAATGTCATGCCTCCATATCCTGTCATTAATTTACACTAATGTACTGATAAGTCCTCAGCCTTAAAGCAGTGCAGAGTTTGTTACTAGAAAACTACATTTGATAACTAATTTTGCATTCAGCAGGAATACTTATGCGCAACAATTTTAACAATAGTTGCACAGACACTACAATTTCATAATCTAATTGGCCATAATTTTAAAACAATGGTAACGTCTTTTACAGTATGGAGTTCCCAATCAGTAGTCTATATGTAGAGGGACCTATTTTATTTCGTTACCTAACCTTGACTTGCGGAAGCGATCACATAACACATGTAGTGGGTATCTACTAATAATATGCGGTACGCGGTCAACGCTGTACTCGTTCATAGTAAAATTACTATAATTACAGTTAGATAGGTACACTCGTAAAAGTGAAAATGCTGAATAGCTCAGTTGTAATAGTACCGTGAGATAGGTTGTGCTATTGTGGTAGCGTTTATTAGAATTACATCAGTTCAACTGCGGTAACTATTCGGATACTTGAAGGCTAGCCGTCACATTCAATTTTCTTGAATTGTGTAATAAATAGATGCTTATTTTTTAAACTTCCAAAATCTTTTGAGGTTATGCATATATACATACATATATAGCATGTTTACCTTTTCACGACTAAATGAATCTTAATGCAATTTGATATGAACTTAGGCATCATAATGATGAACATAGGCTATTTTTTATCTCTAAAAAGTAGACGAAATCACAGGTACTGGGGGAAGGGGATTGTTAGTAATGTGAACTAATAGCCCTGTTACTAGCAAACTAAGTAGATCAGTGTCTGATTGATTTCCACGTGAATCCCCATGATAACCATCGGGATAAATTCATGGTGAATTTCTCACGATGGGCTAACTAACCTGACCTCATGCTCATCTTATCGTCTTACACTGGTGCCCTGCCAGCGTAAACCGTTAGTGCAGCATTTTATTATCATCTATATGAAAGAAAAATGAAGGGGGGGAGAGTAATGATTGCTTTATTCTAATTTGCTTACATTAAGAATTTAACCATTATAGCTAAAAAGTTTCTCTCATAGAGAGTACAGATGATTCCCTTGCACCCGGGTACAGATAAGATAATATATTATATACTATGGATAAAACTATGCCACGTAGATATACTAGAAACAAAAGTAATGAAAATGAAGTATACATTATAATAACAAGTGAAACAGACGCTAGGGAAGTCATTTCTCTCATTCGTCAAAGATTCCAGGTCTCTAACTATCGTCGTCTGGGTTGTACATTGTTTCGACTAATTACAATCGAGTACAATCAAGTATGACTTCATTTGTGTGTAGGTTTTACTTACAATTAGCCAATTATTATTTGTAGATTGTATCTAATGACATCTTTCTGTAACGAATAAAGTATATTTTAATAGAATTCTACAGTTTAATTTATTTGATTGTATGTACGATTATGTTAGTGCTTTTGTAAATTCTTATATACCTACGCAGAAAAATTACTTTGATGTGAGTTATGTCTGTCAATTCTTTAGACTACTATGACGACATAATAATCCTATAACGCTTTGTTTACTGACTTAGTGGACAAAATTCGATATTGAAGTATCGTTCGAATCTTCAAAAGCGATACTTCAATATCGTATATATAGTCAAATTGAAAAGAAGTATAATTGCTAACGTTAAACCTAGGACAGTATTTCGTCAATACCTCTAAATATTAAATATCTTCATATTAGTTAATATGAAGATATTTAATATTTAGAGGTTTTTAAACTTAAGTTAGTGATTTTAACATCTTTAGTTGATCAATATCTACAGCAAATATTTTATGTAATTTCTTACCACCGAATGTTTATTTCTAGTAAACTTTAAAAACTACATTGTGTAATAACTCTGCGACAAAGAATGTTCTTTTTGTAACTTAAATTAGCATTTTGAGCATGATTCACATGTTTTCGCTTTTAGCGCGTCACTAATCAAGGTCTGGTAACCACTGGTTAACGCCTTTCGTAACGCGCTGAAAAACATCCATTTAAATTTTCTTTCACAAAAGACTAAAACTAATAAGTAAATCTCAAATACAAAATTTTTCCACCTAACTAAACAGGACATGAACTGACATACCTACTTCAGAATTTAGAAGTAAGAAGTAGAGTTTGTATATTCATGATATATTCCACGGACATCACTTAATAATCCGTACTGCTATTCGTGTATTTAGGCAATGTTTGGCACTTTCTAAAATGTTTACTTGTTGCCATTCCAATAACGTAAAACAAATACAAAGTAAATATTTATAATTCTCCATTTTTATGAATTTTTAAAATTGGTTCTGATACCTATGTCTATAAAGACATAGAGAAAAAACATAAAATGTGTCAATTTGTATGAAATACAACGTTATTTTTTTTATATAAGTTCTTATTACTAATTCACCTACGCAAATAATATGGAAATATTTTCATTTGTTTAAAGATATAAGGAGTGTGATACTTATAGAATATATTATGTTACAGATATGTGCGATTAGAAAATGAACAACATGAGCGTGTTCTGAAAATGGATAAATAAATAACATAACTCCTGTGTATATACGCCTTATGTAATAAAATATAAACAGTATAAGAAAAGACCATCGACTATATCGCAGTTTATATGTCGAAGAGACTATCGTGAGCTTTTAAAGTTATTGATTTGTTAAAATCAATAAGTTATCCCTCTACACTAAAATAAACACAAATTGCTTTTTGACCTACTAGTAGGTCAAAAAGGTAAGCCTAGCTCGTAGAATCATCATGATCACATTTTATACACATCAGTGTATAGCACAATACTACAATTAAACCCGATACTAAAGAGTTTATAACGATATTAATCTTCTACCTAAAACTGCATCACTGCTAAATTACGCAAATTTAGCAGTGATGCAGTTTTAGGTCAACAATTACAAAGATCAACAAATGACAAAGAATAAAACATAGGTACATATATAAGAAAATTTAAACTATAGTGGGTATTTAAGTAGATACTAATTTGATCATTTATAGAAATGAAAATTAAAGTTTATTATAAAACATTTTATTGTATAAAATAATATATTTACAAACAAAGACATCAATTTGATGCAAGATAAAATTTAACATTGCAGCACAGTGCATATTATCACAATGCCAGCGGTCACCGCACCCTTTCGCACTCTTTAATATCTATCCATTGAGCACCAGTAGAATGAATTTAGGAAGGTATTATATTATGTTTTCACAGGACACTAGGTAATTCTATCTCACATTGAAAAAAATACGGATAGAATATCAAATTCTATGCTTGTTGTTAAATTGTGCGAATATTAAAATACGAATATGCATTCATAAAGTTACTCATTAATCTTATAGTAAATCCAAACCAATCAAACAAAGCACTAAATTTGTACTTACTCTTCTATCTCATAAATCTTTTTCGGCTAGGGACTATCTAATACATATAGATGTATCTACCGCCAGTGAAAGTAATAGCGCAAAACGTAGTAAAGTTTACACCTATTATGACCATTTTATGAGTAGTTGATTATAATTGCGTATATTATGTAATCATCACCGATAGTAAAATGAACGACGACCCTAATACTGAGGCAATCAAATATTATATTTACAGCGAATAATATTGTAATTATGCTTAGACTTAGTAAAAATCTACAATTTTTTGGTAGATATTTAAGAGGAAAGGATCACGAAATTATGTCAAAAAGTCCATTTTAGTATGAGCTTCCGCCAGATGGAGCACCGTATTCGGAAGAAGGAGCCGATGCGGGAGCACCATACTCTCCTGATGGGGGTGCAGCAGCTGGATATCCCTCTTGTTTCTAAAAACATATTTAATAAAAAAATAGATATACTGTTTTCGAGTATACCACATAGCTATCTCACAGAACTGGAAAATTAAATATAACAATATTTTATACAAAATATAACATCTACAAATTATGCTCGATGAACTTCCACTTTAACGATAAAATTACAATATAACACGCATACATTAAATAGGTACATGACATTAGAATCTTCAGATAGTAGAAGATCTACAGTTAGATTCCCAGAGAACAATACAAAACATTAGGTCTGTATACGTCTGGAGCTAATGACGGAAAATGTTGCTTTTAGCAGTACGTTGCGTTACATCGTGTAGTATAATTTGTGACTACAGTAGTATCCTCTATTGCGTCAATATAATGATGATAGTACACCGAGCACATCAGGGCACGTAAATAATACTTCCTTGATTACTCAAGGAAATGATTTAGGCCACACTTTCTCAAAATAAGTAGGGACACATCCTCGTGTTATCTCTAAATCTAACAGGTTATTAAAAATATTCCTCCGTAACGAAAAGTGCTCATACTAACTCATAGCTTTAAGATTTAAAATTAAAGCTATCAATCAGTTAATCGGTCGGTTCTTTGGTAGTTAATTCCGAATTTGATAGAGCAGTAGCAGGGTTACTTATAAATTTATCTGCTGTTAAATACACTTACAACATATAGGGACATGTATGATACATACACAGAGGAATTATTTTTTATAATATTATAGATTACTAGTAACATTATAGATTAGTATTACTACTCCATGTAGGTACTGTTAATAGGTAAATTATTAACTATATATTTTTTAGTTTTTAATTTGGGAGCCCTTAAATATTATTTGTATTTTATTATACTGTACTAATAATTTAAAAATCATGGATTATGTGATCTAATAAAAAAATAATAAATGTAAGTCTCACAATATTATTGGTCATGAATAAGTTATTTAACAGTTTGCTACTAAGATAATATTTATTCTTTGCAAATAATTTTGAGAAATGTACCTGTATTGTAATAGTTGTATCTTTGAAAAATAAAATTATATGATATCTTAAAAAATATATATAATTAGCTGGCAGTATGCCGTACACAAATAGGTATGTTGTGTAAACTATATGCATGTTTCAGAGATTAATTGTGTTAGACAAGCCATACAACATATTTAATATTAGATTTATCATTTCAATTTTTTATGTCATTAGTGGTAAAAAATATAAGTTTAATTTGTTATGATTGTTGTAATTAAAAATTAATATTATTACTGCCCTAATCAACGACCACAGAATCTACATTATGTATATTCTGTGGTGGACATGTAATTTTTTTTTATTATTGTGTTTGTTACTATAGAATAGCGAAAATGTTTTGTTATGAAGATATCTCTTCAAAGAATATTCAATTAGGTAGGTATTTGTTTTTGTCTTATTACATAATACAGGTACAGTAAATGTATGTCTGTAGTATGTCATTACACAAGTAATTCTAGAATTGTTAAATAAATATTTCTTTACCTGTGTTTTGTATCTGATGAAGTAAACTTCAGGTTTAGCGGGTTGAGTAGGAGCCGGTGTCGGGATCACAATTTCTGGTTGTTCCTCTGGTTTCTTCACCAAAACGTAGACAAGGGTCTTCTCTTCGTTTTGAGGCTGCAATGGAATAACAGGGGCAGTTGGCGTAGGTGGTGTGGGCGCCTTAATGAACACAATCTTGTAGTGTTTCTGTGGAGGAGGCACATGTATAGGTTTACGAGCCGCTGGATATTCATTATCTGGGGGTGGCACGTGGACGTATACATGCTTATGGACTATCGGCTGCTGGGGTGGTCCATATTGAGGAGCTGGAGCGCCATATGAAGATGAGGGAGCGCTGTAAGATTGAGAAGGCGCGCCGTAGGAAGTCGGAGGCTCTGGCCGTGCGACTACGCAAGCCATAGCCGCCACCAACACCAAAGATCTCAGCACCTGCACACACAAACTTCCTCTTAATCGAACACACAGAAACAAATAACGATTTTTTTACCTACAATGAAAACCCAACGTGGATGATACGTGCACGAGTGTTATTCATATATACACTTCAGCCCACTAGCCCGAATAATCCTTCGATATAGTATACAAATGCACTGCGACTCGATGTCACCAGGTCACTAGATCAACTACTTTTCACATCACTGCTGAATGCTTGAACATCACAGAAACCTACCGTTTTATCACACATCCTGGGCACGTATTGGAAGCGACTTTAGATAGTGTATAGTGTCCAGCGATCAGGTACCACCTGTGTTTATAAGAGATGCACGCTCCATATCCGGGGGAGGGGGCACTTTCGATGGTTCACATGGCTTGCGCAATGCGATGGGGCTCACGCGCTGCCCTCCTCCTAGTGACGACCGCGGAGCGATCACGCTGCATTGATGCTCGAGGGCAGCAAATTACTTTCGACATTTTACACTATAATTAACAATTTCCTTCCATAATATTCAAAATTTATTTTCCCTAGAAATCCAATCTTATATTTTGGGTCATAACATTTATTTTCAATAACCAAATAGTTAAAAACAACAATTATGAAACTATTGAAATATGCAATTAATTCTTATTCTCTAACCATATGGAAGTAAATATTTTTTAATGTATGTTGGTACAACGTCGAAAAGGGTCCAGGCACCGTCTCGAGTGTTTTGTGGGAAGGAATAGTTCTGGAAAGGTGATTCCGTACAGTCCAACTTATTTTAAATACCCTCATAAAGAAAAACGCGATTCCTAGATCACAGGTTCAATGAATAAGAATTAGTGTTGTAGTAGGTTAATTTGTCTCGATTTCGCTTCGATGTCATAAGTACGTTATAGTATTGATTACTTGCTTTGTCTGCATTTTATTAATTATATTATTAATACTAATATTTAACTCATGTTTATAAAATTGAAGAACCCTAATTAAAAAAAAACTTTAGTACATTATTATTCGAATTAGCAGTTAGGTGCGTGTTCGCCTGCTTTCTTTAAAACAAAATATAGCAAAAAGATATTCGTGTAATGGAATCAATAATCAAATATAATTTTAAAAAGACTCATTCAGGTGTTTTGTTGTGTAAGGATAGTAAACAAACATACAGACACACGTTCGTATTTATAATATCAGTATGCATTTGATACTTGTATAATGTACGTTGATTCTACAGTTTTTTTTTATTATACACAGGCAGGCGTAGTTTTAAATGACACAGATTTTTTCAGTTCGTAACTTTTCACACACCATATCAAGAAGAATAGGTATAATGTATCAAACGTAAAATGACTTATTCCGGAATAAGTAATAATATTAAAACTTATAATTAAATTAAATTATAAGTTTGATCATTATTAATATACATATATACATATATTTCTCTATATAAACTCTAAGTGTGCGAATTTTCATACTCCTCCATCCGTGGAATTTACGAAAAAATTGATACAAAGTTTTTGCTTAACCTATTAATATAATGATGAAATAAGCAGTAAAAGATCTATTGAAAAAGAAATAAAAATTGTCGAATATACACGAAATGAACACAAAACTCATGAAAAAAATATAAATAATAATAATAATCTCTACGTTTTTTGTACGAAATACCTATAATGCTAACTAACAAATCTCAGGGTGCTCTGTTTTTTCCCGCCATTGTAAACTAGAAAAACGTATCTTTTTTTTATGTAATTGGAATGGCAAACGACAAACAACAAATTCTGCTGAAATTTGTAAAAAATTGGTAACCATTGATGCTCTATCCTTCATGAAAGTTATCATCATTTAGATGTATACACATAATTAATTGAATACCTAAACATATATTCAATCTTTTTTATATTTTTTTATTATTATTTCCAAGAAGTAGTATAAAATATATGTATACAGTTAGTGGTAAATTCCTCAAACAAATTGAATATGATAGCTTAGCAGTGTACCTAATAGTATACAATTGTGGGGATAGCGTAATAGAAAAACTAGCCAGGTGTGATGAAAGATCGCGTTCCAATCGACTCGATCAAGTCGCATCCTAAAGGTGAAATGTTGAATTCACTAGGTACCTAAGTGAAGCGGAGAACGGTATATATCTCAGTACCTATGTACGCAGAAAGGAGACGGGGCTTGCGAGTTCAAATGTTAATTTCTGGTCGGTTAGGTGCGTCGGTATAAGACAAGCTCAGTCCTTTCTTCTGATATCTAAGTGTTTAGCAACAACACCGCAGAATACACTCATTACACAGTAAGTTATAGATCTTCAACACTAATCACTAGCTGGATGGTTTAATATATTATTGCGACGTCGATTGCTAATCTCCCCATAATAATAAACAAGGACAATTTACGCAGCGGTATTAAACTAAACAGACCAAGTACTAAAAAACTGTCAAAAATACTTAAATGTGATGTGCAAATATCACCTCTGTCAATTTTAATGTGTAAGCTTTTATTGGGAAAGTATTAGCCTTTTTTTTAACCACTATGCTAAAATTATAAATATATTCGGCCACCAATTATACTGTATATCTCAATAAATACATATGTACATGGTACATACCTACATACGTACAAACTACCACAGTCAAAAACGAAATCGCAAGTTATGTTTTTTATCGGTATTTGTAAACAACTTAAACATTACTCAGCATTGTTTAGTGAAATCGTCACATTTATTTTTTTATTTATAAATAAATAAGTTACAGTAGCTATTATTTAAATAACGGCAGATGCTGGAGATACAGTGCTTTAAAAACGCGTAAAAGCTAATCACACGCATCAATTTATGTTTCTCGTTGAATCGTATTGTTTAATTGTTGTGTAGATTGCTCCATATCAATGCGACATCTTGGTCTTTCAGTACGCTTCCGAGAGCGATTTATTAAACGTTACAATTTTAAGTCCGACAATAGTTTATGTATTATTACTAAGTACTTTAAAAATTCAGACTGCACCATTTTGAAGATATAAAAGCATTACATGCAACAGTCGCTTGGAAATACCTAACCACATAAAATAGAAGAATGTTTTCGACGATTAGCAGTAAACTAAAGGTAAGTAAATTTTAATGTATCTTTACTGAGTTTATGATAATAAAACTCACATCGAAACTGTAATTAAAACGTATTCGAATCTATGTCTATAGGTATGTAATCTTTCGCAAGTTTTACATTTCGACATTGATGGTTGAAATAAAAAAATCTACTAGTGTAGGATAATTAGCTTCATCACGAATAACCTTTTGACATGTTGCTTTGCTTCGGATAGTCAAGAAATGTTGCGTAATTTTACAAAAAAAGGCCAAGAAAAACTAATTTCTTTAGAAGAACATAACATTTCACAGTGCATTGCATCAATGGCTTAGTAATGCGATAAGCATTAGCATGATGAAATGCAAGATTAAATTATATAACAATAAAGTAGGTATAGCACGGGCATCAATTATATTTAAAAGGCCAAGGTAGTGAAAAGAAGACCAGATCAAATCAGCTCTAATTATTTATTCTGTACTGTATATGTATGCGATCAGAATACACATACTATCATAACCATCCAAAGTTATGCACAATTGACTCCTAGCAAAATAGATATTTTTTTAAATTAGTAAAGTATCATTTATTAACTAATATTTTTTTAACAGTACAATAACCAACTTTCGGCGTAGCATTCATGCTAAGCAAACTAGTTTAAACTAGTTGTGATTTTTTATAGGTACGTACCAGACTTAGATAAGTATATCTAAATTTCCTAATTAAGAGTACTAGAAGCTTTTATTTCATTTTGTAAGAGGTACGACTTCCTCTTCGCCTCACTTCGATACCTTTACCTATCTATTCGAAGTATAACATTTGCGTATAAAATATGATAACAATGTATATTGTTCTAATTTATTAGATTATACACATAATCTGCTGTTTTTTTTTTCAAATTTAATAATACAATAAACAGCCTTATATAAATATATTTTTTATAATGGACATAGTTCTTAAATATGTAACTTTACAAGAATCATACAGTAATTATAAACGCCTAATGTTTATAATTACTGTATTGTTTTACTAAATTATTACTTATTGCTATAAAGAAAAGATTTCTTTTTTATCGAATAGAGTTATGTGAGTCTTTAGGTAGGTATAGGTATAGAGCTATGTATAAGGCACGAGTACCTCAATATTGTGGATTGCTAAGAAAAGGTATAGAGAGTACTTTTATACAAAGTCCTCTTTCTTTGTATGTACCGCTGTTTTACCTATCTATTCTGATACCAGCCAGCTTAATTGCTTCCGGTTAAAGTAGTAATATTACGAAATACCTTTTGTCACTCAAGATTCTTATGTCACATGGCAGAAACAGTCTAAAATATAGGATTGTGATGATTTCAATTTATGTATTTTTACGATTATTCATAAGAACAATGGTTACTTAAAAGAGGCGTGCTGTACTGATTAGCGTAAGCTTTCTATGACGTGATTAGTGGTCTTCGCTTGTTTACTTCTTGAGCTTATTGTAGTATCTAATGCGTTTATGCGGGTGATACTATTCTACTGTAACCATAGTTTTAGATTGCCGTTTATTAATCTCATATTTTGCCTTATTAGCCGTGATAGAGAATAAAACAACAAAACGAGAAGTTTTATTATATATATATATATTATATTTTACAATTTTATTTTAAAAACGCAGCACTGACCAAAATGTACATTTACAAATAAATAATTATAAGAGGCTATGGGTTGGTATGTTACTTAAAGTTAAAAAATGTGAGTGAAGGTTATTAATTCAAAAATATTTCAATGTTGTAGTGGCGAAATTCTCTTTTATTCAAAGTTTTAAGTTTGAGCATTCTAATGTTGATCAAGTGAAGTCCGTTGGTCATACAGACACTAGCAGCATCATTGCAGTTTTAACAACATAGGATGGATAGATTTGTAAATCTCGGAAATGGTCTCTATGGTTTATAAATATCAAAACAAACATATTTATAATAATAATATTAGTAGAATGATAGAAAAATTAAGTAGTCTTGATTTATCATATTATTTTAATAATTGCTTACAGTGAGAAATCTCCAAGGCCGTAACTTCAATTATATATTAAACTACCGAAATAAATACAATTTAAGTGCATGTTAATTGAAATTACAATTTCAAATTAACAGCTTTTAATTAAATAATATATGAATGTATTGTATGTCTACTAACATTAAGAAATTAATTTAATAAAATTGTAACTGTCT